TCAAAAATATTTTAGACCGACACTAAAACCTTTGAAGGAAGTCTTAGGCGCTTGAGGGCAAAGGGCACGCCAAAAAATGCAATTTTTTCATCAAGTTTTCAAAAAAAGCGCAAAACTGATATTTTGGTTCGATTGCTTAACAATTTGCGCACGGCGCAGAAAAATATCAGCAAAATAGGGTCTTTTTTGTGTTTTTGAAGAGCTCGGAACAATCAGTTTTTTCGACCTAAAACAAAATCAACAAACTTTTGGATTATTTTAAACCCCTCCCCTCGAATACAAATTTGATCCACTCCTATGGCAAATGTTAACTCTATTACAAATACTCCAGAAATAATTTCAATGAATGGTCAATAAGTAAATTCGCGTGTGTGCCTAAAACTGAAAGTTGTACGAATTACTTAGAGTTGCATCGTGCGATCGGTTACTTAGAGTTGCAAAAATGACCCGCTGTTTCAAAATTTCCTTGATTGCGCTCAAATGTATAACGTTAAGTTCAAACGGTGAAATGAACGAAAATACCATACCATCATACAATATAACATTAAAGGTAGAAAATCTTCAGTTAAATTCATTCTGATAAAATCTAGAAGTTTTCTGGTCTTAAAGATGAAAGTCGTCACCGTTACGTGAATAGTACATGTGAATATATCGGACCTGAAGCTTATTGTTATAATCCTAATTTTTACCATTTCATTCCTCAAGACAACGACTGTCGCCCAATCGTTTGTTCTGCACCCAAACGACTAAACATGTACATCACTTATGAAGAGTGCATCAAAACCTGCAGGAGCAGAAACACAACAGATTCGAATCCTAACTTTTGAAAAATGGTTATTACAACTAAAATTTCAAAATACAGCAATTGACAGTTGATTTATGATTTAATTTCTCTTTAAAAATCACAAAAAAAAATCAACCAAATTAATGTGATAAACCTTTTGAGTAGAGATGGATAAATGAACTAATTTCAAAAGGGAACAGATGATGAACTAGTTTGAAAACGAAACAGATGAGCTAAAAATGGATGCTCATTGTTCTCGCTGCTTTAAACCCTAGCCATTTGCTTCCACCGAATTAAATGACTTTCCTGCAGAGTCTTTCTATGTGAGTCAGAACAATACCTTCCCGAAGTTATATTCAAGTTCAAGATTGATTTTCAACAAACTTTTGATACATTTAATCGTCAGTTATTAAAGAAAAAATGAGCGCTTGTAACTTTTGGGGAAGTTTCAATTAAAAATTGTCAAACTATATAGAAAACAGACAGCGATTTGTTAAAAAATCAATGAAAGCTTCCAGTCAGTAGTCAAGAAATTGCCTTTGGAGTGCCAAAATACGCAATTTAAATCAAATGATCTTAATCTTTTTTTGTTTCAAGACAAAAAGTATGGATAAACGCATTCCATGCAAAACACTGAGATGCTTCAATTTCTTGATTTCCAATAACCTTTTACCTATTTGAAATTCAAGATTTTTTACTTGAACAAATTTTAATTTTTCCAACTTTTCAAAAACAGTGGTTTCAAATAAAATGATCAACTGGTTGACATTTTTAATATAATTTTTTATTAGGCTCGTTTGTGTCAGTTTTGAACTATGATAGTAATCCCAGAAACTTGCTAGTTCTTATGCTGGATAATCTCTAGCTATCCCGATGCAGTGAATGAGCATGCTGCAATGTACTTGAAGATACACTGTTTCGAATATGTTGACGATCAAATTAATCACATATTATTTGCAGTGCAAGTTTATTTCAAAATTTAACGTGACTACTGCAGAGATAAATAGTTAATGTAAAAACGACGGTATAAAGTGAAAGATACTGAACGGATTCACATTTATTTTTTCAATTTTTTTTCAGAAAAACAAAAGAATGAAGTGCAAGAACCTTTTTGTTGAGACTTTAGACTAAACACTTCTGTCAAAAATAACAAAAGCTGCACAAAACACCAAACACAATAGTCGTTGCAATGGCTATATCAGAAAAAAAACTCATCAAAGTGGGTCAAGGTGACCAGTTATGATTTTTTATGTAATTTTGTAAATCGCATGTACAAAATTTTTTTGAAATGTTTATTTTTATTTAGCCTAACGCATCATTACCTGTGTTGACCCAGAAAACTTGTGCCTTGACTAGAATGATCAACTTTTTTACAAGCAGACGGCTCTTTTATACTTTATCCAATATATTATATAAAATTTTGCCCATTCATATTAAGATGATACGAACTACGTTTCATGTTATTTCAAAGCTCTAACACCTAGAACCTATGCATCAAGTAGAATTAAAAGCAGGATTTAGTAAAATAGTTAACATGCAGTAGACTGTCACACTGAACAACCTTTTTGTATATAAAAACGAAGCCAGCTGCAATCGTTTTGATAAAAAAAGATTTTTGAAGTTAATTTGTCCGGATAATTTTTCGTTCATTAAATAGTTCTATAAGAAAATTTTTATAAATTGGTCTGAAATAACTTTCAAGTTTCTCCTTAAGTATCTGGGATTCAAAAAAGTCGTAAATGAGTAGGAAAATTAAAACTTTAATGTAACAAATGAACGAGAAACAGATTTGTATAGTGCTGATATAAATTATCCAAAAAAAAAAATTAAATTCGACTTTTCAAACGTGTTCAATCGCTTAAATTAAATTAAGATTAGACAAAAAATGAATATAATAAAAGTTGATTAGAAAAATGTTATGGTGCAACATAATTTTGAAATTTGCAACTAAAATTAATCCCCATACATGGGTCATTTTGGCTATTTTTAGTTAATAAAGACTTACACCCAAAACTTTTAGGTAATATATAAAAAAGTTATATTAATTGAAGCCTATTACAAAGCTCAACAAAACTCCAAAAAAAACTCTACAAAATTTTCCAAAAATTCTGAAAATACCAGTTTTTTAATATTTAGATAATATATAAAAAACTTATATCAATTGAAGCCTCTTACAAAACTCAACAAAAAAAATCTCCAAAAATTTCCAAAAACCCAAAAAATATCCTTTTTTGGATATCAAGCTAAAATATATATTCTTCTAAACAAATCTTTGAAAACATATCCTTCTAGAAGGTTTTTTAACTGTGTAAAAACTTACTTTTGATATAAGTTTTTAATATGTTAACTAGATAGTTTGGGCGTAATTTATGATTGACTAGAAACAGCCAAAATGAGCCATTTTTGGTGTAAAATTTTGGTTTTGAATTTCGAATACCAATTTTGGTGAAGTTCTAATTAACTTATGTTCTATTCACTTTCTGTTGAATAAAAATTTAAATTGAGCAAAATGTGTTTGAGTTCTCCAATTTTGTTTTATGTGATCGGTTAGTTTATAAAAGCTCTTTGTTTCATCGAAACGTTATTGTTCCTTTGTTACTTTCGAAAAAAAGGGAATATTTATGCTTGGAGCAGTTTTTTTTCTTCAATTAAACTTCGGCAATCAAAATAATAGTTTTTAACAAAAAAAAGATATGTGCAATTGAAGATATTGACTCCCTGAAATTAATTTTAAAAAGAACCTCCGATCGTTTTTGAAAACTTTTGGGAGTTTGAAAATTGCCAGTTTGGCTATGCTCTGGACTAATTTATGCGCGCTTTATAAATTTAATTTATAATCCTGAAAGCGTAACGCGAATTACATATGCCCGGCAAAATATGACGCAGACAAAATCGCTCTAAATTGATTTGAGGCTAGCTACTCGGTCGTAATAGTTTCGTACGACTCAAATTTCCATACTTGTTTTTTGGTATTGTTCAAAATCTTTAGTTTTCAAATTTTTTTTCACAAAAACTGTTTGATATGGATTAGGGGGCAATCGGAATCTTCAGGGTTTTGCCCTGATATACGAGCAGTCTTGTTTAAGATAGAATATGGGTCCTGGCATCCTAAAAACAAACTATCTTAACATGCATAATTTAAGGATTTGGATAGAAGCATGCTAGGATAGAAGCATGTGTAAATTTAGATCTCATTGTTTCTTGCTAAAAAGCAGTTTTTATTGTACAGACGCGTCCTTGCAGTTTTCGGAACAGTGTATTGAACGAAATGCCTTAATCGCATTTACAAAGTGATGCATAATGCCCATTTAACCCCCACAACCATTTTTTTGCTTCTGATGCTACCCTAGGTTGGGACTACGGGCTAGGTTGGGCAAAAATGATGATCGATTTAAAGTTCAAGGGATGGTGTTGAAATTAGACTGAAGAAAAAACTCTATAACTGCACGAGTTATTACGCAATCAATTTACTTTCTGATAGTAATGCCTTTGGTTTTGTGCGAAAGGCAGCCAATAGGAACGTCTAACGATTCTGATTGGCTAAAAAGTTTCCTTCATTCGGTCCCTTTGTCATGAGAATACCCCTCCCTCCAAAAAAGCTCCATTATGGGGGGGGGGGGGGGGTCGTTCAGCAGTGCCGAGTGCCGAAGTAAAACAGTGCCAAGCTGAAAAAGGATTCAAACTGCCAAAAATTGATAAATTTCAGTGCTGTTGACCAGGTTTTGGCACGGATCTACTGCCGAATCATGAGAAAAAAAAAATCACCACTGAAAATCTATCCGCATTTGGAGCGCTATTTTTCATGTGCAGCAGAAAAATTGAAGTGATTTTTTTTTACTTTTTTAACGGTTTTTTGCAGGCTCACAATAAGTTTCTTCTAACTTTCTTTTAACTTTCTAGTGTTCGATCTTAAACGGAATTCAAAAAGTTTTTCGTTATGGAGATAGAAAAAAGATCGATTAAATCTGAGTTTTTAGTACGAGGTAAAAATAACAAAACGGTTCCAAGCTTGGCTATACAATCACAAGTTCCAAGCCTGACTATAAAGTTGCTGGTGTTTTTATGACAAGATTTTCTTCTGAGAACTATTTTTTCTACTAGCTAGCAAAAACTTACCAGTTACAAGAACAGAAAAGAAAACTTTAAGAAATTGAACTTTAAATTTAGAAATAATGAATGAATGAACAAAAAAGAAGTATAATTAAAAAAACTGCAGTGAGGAACCCTGAACGTAAAAATTGCTAATTGTTCTGCAAAGTTACCTGAAATTAAACTAATTGATATTTTATTGCGATATGGCACATTTAAGCATCAATGATTGTCAAAAAGTCAAAATTTTTCAAGAGTTCGTTTCTCCTGGGTCGAAGTTTTTCATTGAGTAACTACTTTTCCTTTTTATGCTTCTTACAGTGTTTTTCTTCATGTTCATTTTTGCGACAGGAGTTGACTTGAACTGGCTGAAGTTTCCAGCGTTCTGATTGGCTAATTCGATACTGCTCTCCAATTGGTTGACGTCGATAAAAGCTACTTGATCTCCGTGCTGTGTCTGGTATTGCCAATTGCACGTTGCGTTTATATTCGGGTTAGAAAACAGTCTGTTTTGGGCTAACATGCCGTTTACTGTGGTTGAATGGCTTCTGGGTAGGCGACCCATAGTTAGTACGGGCTGTGAGTTGAAAGCGAGTTCGGTTGAGCCGAACATGAGGGCTGTGGTGCTTCCGCGTTGTCCGATCGGGTCTCGTGGAGGCACTGGTGGTGGCGCTACCATCGACACTGCCGCTGAAAAATGATTTTTTTTTATTTAAAAAACTTTCAAAATCTCTATTCTAATTCAGATAATGGTCAATAAAGCATGATATTCATATCTCAAGAACCAAAAATTCTTAGTAACGCGGTGAATGAAAAATGTGGAGAAAGATAATTAGATATTTATAACGGTTGTGATAAAATCACTCAGGTTTTGATGCTTTAAAAGGTTATGCTAGAAATTAATTATCACATAGATATTTAAATCATATCTTTTATCAGTCGGTATATCGAGAATAAAAACCCATTGAAACCCGAAAGCAAAATGTTTGGGTTGTGTAAGCGAAAAACGTGGGAATCAGTTGTTCAGAAGACCCTTCTACTAAATTTTCAATTGAATTCAAAACAGAGCAACTTCACTTTAATGAAATGTCTTTAAGCGTCAAGGTTAACTTCAAGCCGTGATCAACCGGGTCTTCACGCGTGATTATACCTGGAAAACTTGGCACTCTTCTATGATGCGTTTGCACGAAATTAGAAGCATATAGGCTGGCTAGAAAAAAATACATCTGCTTGTTTAGAATTTCTGACAGTTTTGATTAGTTCCTCTCAAGATAAATATCAACTAATTAATGACAAAAAAATCTATTATGATTAGAAATTGTGCTTTATAGTTTTGGTGACGCAGATGTTGCTTGATGGATATTTTAGCGTTTCTAGCTCTAGTTTCTGAACTATTATAAACCTTGTGAGTTCCAGACGTGAACGGGCGTCAGGAATGTCGTCGCCACTTGTGCTATTTCTGCAAAAAATTAGGAAAAATTAACCAATTGCAGTTACTTTTCTTTGAAAATGAAATGTCTAATGCTGTATATGATTAAAACTCAATTACTTAATATATATTTTTTTGCTATATAACATCTCAGGTTAACGTTGCAGGCTTCAAATATGACCCAAGGTCATAATTTAGTAATTTGTGACAAATAAAGTGGTTTCTCGTTTCGAAACATCACAGAATTTTCACCTTGCGTTAAGTTGAATGCTATCTTATCTATTCTACTTGTGATTTTGACCAGAATTGTCCTTTACCTTTCGACTTGACATGGACGGGGGTGTAAAAGAGAGGTTGAGTCATCTCGATCAATTCTAAATTAGCAAACCGTTTTTTTTAAGAAAGATGAAATTTCTGGGAAAAATGATGAATATTTATGTGCACGCTTAATTGCAAAGGTCTGTATTGTGATTTCTGCAAAACTTTTTGTTTTAGTTTAAAAATGATAAATGAAAGTGCGTACGCAGTTTTGAGGTTTTTATTCTGATTTCGCAAAATGGTTAATTTAGCCTTTTTATTCAAACTTTTCATCGTTATTCTTTCTATCGCTTTTTTAGGGGCGTGAACAATGTCGTAGAGCGTTTTTCTACTTCCCGATTTTAACTACTTTAAATAAAACTTGTAAGGGTCGAGTGTAATATTGTATTAAAGCCGTTTCAACCATGATTAGGATTCCAAAAAAATCAAAAAACCTGGAACGGTGAGTTGAAAAAGTGGAAACTTCTCGGTGTAGAGAAAAACGTGGTCTGAAAAGTTCGAGATCTGATCCTTCAAAAACTCAAAGCTATATAAATATATAATCTATTCATTGGCACTCTTTCATGCAGTTATTTAGTAGTTTCATTTGCTTTTACTAGCCTTTTCTATGAAAAGAATGACGGGAAATTTTGGAAAAAACCATCAATTCTTAAACTGTTTGTTGTCGAAACACTTTGTGCTACTTGCACAGCATCGCGCTATCTTTGATTTCTTCAGTGTCAGTTCAAAATAAAATAGTTTTCAAAAACTCAAGAACAACTTTTATATTGCCTTAAAGTAGTTCGACTGACTTTTGCCGTCAACAAAAAAGTTTTTGGTTAAGAAATAACAAATATTGAGAAAAAAAACGATATTATTTAATCTTGTTTCTTATTTTTGTTCCTCCGCACGCTTCAAAAAAAAAAAGAAATTGATACGTTTGCTGACTGGTGTTTTTAAGAATAAATTAATTGCTCTAATGCAATTTGAAACTATTTAATTTAGTAAAATATCTTGTGCTCAAAACGTCGATACTTTTCAGATTGAATGAAAAGATAAGAAAATTTTTTTGTTATAAAACCGAAATTTGTCTGAAGAAAAAAAGCACGAGTACAAATATTATATCCTTTTTCTCGGAACTCGGAATACTAAGACTAAATAGTGCGCCTCAATTTAATTTGGAAGAGTTTCTGAGCTGGGTTAAATCGTCGCTTACATTTTAAAAGCATGAGCTATATCGCGCGTTGATTATCTCCAACTGGCATTTTGAAACTCGCTTAACTCATCGAGAGCGTTCAGATGATACATAAAAAGAAAAAATGTCAAAAATGGCTAGTTAAAAAATCGAAGTTTGTGTGAATAAAAAATCAGGCCGAGCACAAAAATTCTGTCCTTTTCTTCAAAAATCGGAACAATAAAATGTCTGGAGACGTTTCTACATTCCAAAATTCAAAAAGTGAGTTGTCATTGATTGTTTGTTTTGATACGATTGTGATGATGCCGCTTCTTTTTTTTCTTTTAAAAATACCTGCGCGTCGAGGTCTATATGTCTTGACCCTAGCGGGCGACCAAATAATTTGCGAGACGTCCATACTTGCTAAAAGGTCCATCAATCAAGCGCTTGTAAATAATAAATATAAGATTTGGAATTGAACTTTGAATTAAATTGAAACAATTTGGAATATATGAACACACATTTTTTACCAGAAAAATTAAAAGTTTTCAAAAATTCAGGAGCTGTTGAAAAAATTAACGGAGAGAAAATTGATAATTTGGCGTTGCATAATCTTCATAATAGCCCAATAACTGGTTGCCAAGTCTAAGGCCAACAGATGAGCAAATTATGAATCATGAGCAAATGATTTAACTAAGAGATAAACTTATGCGTATTTAAAAGTTTTTTTTGAAACAATCAAAATAATAAAATTCGATTGTTTTGTTTAGAATGTTAAAAACACCAACCGCATTTAGCATTGCTGTCCATTGAATTTCTTCCACTCTGGGTTCTCCGGGCGGCGACTGTATTTTGAGCGCCATTTGGAGGCAACTCAAAGTAATTAGACTGCGAATGGGGCATCGTAGACACGTGGGGTTGATTGCCATAAACATCATTGGTATGGGCAGGTGAAAACATTTGGGTACCGATCGTGGATGGGACGACGGGGTTGGTGCTGTTAGTCGGCGGCTGTACTAGTCGGGAGGTCCGCATCGTGGCATACCCCCCGATTGACCCGAAGTTACCGGTGGATGCGCTTTGCTGCATATCAGCCGACGATTCTGAAGTGATAAATACATGATGCAAGGCAAATGTAATTTCTTTTGTTTTTCTAGTTTGTCATAAAATTGAAGCTTATGAGAGGTGGGGAGGGGGATAAAGAAAAAAACATAATTTGTTCAAATGATCAACCTACCACTTATTCCTGAACCAAACAACTACCCAAAATACATGATTATGATTTTTTACTTTTAAACCCTACCAATTAGCAAGGGCATTGTAATCTACTTTTTCAGCTCGAAACTGTAATAAAATACTGCAGTGCCCCCAAATTAAAACTTCCCATCGCAGTTTTTGCATCCAATTTTGTGTAGCTCAGGGAAAACTTGAAGGGAGCAATGATGGTGCCATATTAAAAACATTTTTGTGCGTGAATCAGGTTCTAAAACAAACGCAATCAAAAGTGGAAAATAATGTTGATAAACTCCAGGAACCAAAAAAACGAACTGACTTCTGTTAAACGTTTTTCAACTTTTGAATTTTGAAAAAAAAATACATCCCGATAGAGCTCTTTTACTTTCCAGAATCTTTTATGATTGGCAGTTTTCCATACAAACAATCCAGTTAGACAAAACTGGGTGAATAGTTAATTTATATTCCGTTCGGAAATTTAAAAGTTTAAATCCTGTTTTGAAACTCAAATCTTACTAGTTCATATAAAAAAGTATAAAAAATCACACGACTTAAAGAAGTGCCTTTTTTTCGTTTGTTGACAATTATAAGCCTGCATTTTGAAAGCAAAAAAAAATGAAACACTTCGAGTTTTTTTGGAAAAAAACTGATTTGTTCAACGTTTTTTTTTGCAGTAATGATTGCGGTCGGAGAAATCAGCTATCTTACATTTTCATCAACATTGTATGCAAGTGATGCAAAACTCAGCTGTATCTGTGCTAATGTTTGTGAAAATATTTTTATTCTGATTATTCTGTCACTTGCACAGCCAAAGGTTGATTTTATTATTCTGACTTTCGAAGAACAAGACGGAATAATTTGTGCTCGGTTGTTTTTTTTTCACAAGACAAACTTCGACTTTTTAAATATCAATTTTTGACATTTTTTATATTATTCCAAAAGTATTGTTGTTCTGGGCTCGAAATTTTGGAAAAAAAAAACATTTCACCTGTGATCATTTTTCGTAAAGTTATGGGGATTCAAACATTGCCAATGCGGGACAATTAACACGCGATATCATTCAAAATGTATTGTTGTCCTGAGCTTAAATTTGAAAAATTATTTCACCTGTGATCATTTTTCGTAAAGTTATGGGGGTTTAAAGATTGCCATTTTGGCCAATTTGGGACAATTAACGCGCGATATATTTCGCGCTATTAACGCGTTAGCGGAGATTTAATCTGTCTCAGAAATCGGTCCAAATTAGTTGAAGCAGGCTATTTGCCGTATTTGTTTTGTTACTCGGAGCAAAATCTATCACTTTGTACTTTATATGGCATAAGTTGGGATAGTTTTTACAAAAAGCTCATTTTTTAAATAAACATTTTTTTCTTTTTATTTTAACAAAGTACGGTTCTCGGCCTACCGGCTTGTTAAAACAATTATTATTTGGGACTGTTTTTCGGACTGTTTCGTATCGGACTGTTCGTTTGTTCATTTTCATACTTTTCCGGACTGTTTTGTATTGGACTGTTTTATGTTGGACTGTTTTGTACAGACACAAAATTGAGGCATACACTTTGGTCTATTTAATACTTTGCTATCTGAAAAATACATCACATTGAAATTTACATATCGTGTGTGGGGGTGATATTCAAAAAACCTCAAAAAAATTTTTTTGTTGAAAATTTCATGAATCATTTTAATTAAAACTACTCCAAAACTACTCCTGGAAGTTAAAATGCAGTTGCAACAATCAAGTCTTGATTTATTTATCAATAATCGGCCGGTAACTTTATGCCAGCAGACCGAAACTGCAAAAATTAGTTACATAATCACATGAATTGAAAACTGCGACATGAAAAATATGACAAATTTTCTTTGTTCAAAACAAAAATTGAAACAAAGATTGAAGTTAAACAACTCTAGCCATGAGCGCCACAGTTGTAAAATTATTGTTCTAGCTCAGAAAAAAATAATAATTTTATAAACTGTGATTCCGCAATTGATGTAATTCAGCATTACGTGGTTCGGTTTCCTGGTCTGGTAACTCTTTGCTTTACTGAACGAACCCTTATTTATCATTTTTTTAAGCTTTGTCTTATCGCGATTTGATAACTTAACTGACTCTGTGTTACCTCTGCGTGATTTAGCTCTAATAGAAGTTGGTTTGTTTCTGTGAAGCGTCTGTGAGTTGTGTTGCTTCCTCTTTTCAGCTGCCACCAGTCTGGTCTCCAGGGAACTGTCTGAGAGGGGGGACCCGTCTGCCTCGGTACCTGTGTCATCCCCGTGACTCGCTTGTGCTTCGGGATCCTGGAAACAAAGCGTGGAAGCATTAGAAATTAATTTGAGTTTTTAAGCAGCTGATTTTTTTGGATCATCAATTTAGCAGCAAACATGCAACTCAGAGGAAGAAGAATTCACGAGAAGACACACTTGCTAATAGCAATTTTTATTAAATCACAAAAACTTTCAACTTTGAAACAAGGGAAGCAAGTTTATATTTATCAATTTTTTCGCAACTGATTGAAGTAAGGGATTTAAGAGTTTGGGAACTGGACATCCTCGTCATTCAAAGGGTACTTTTGGTACTATATACCGTCATCTAATTTAGACGGCCAATCCTTTCTTCTATACAAAAATTTATGCCGGCAGAAATTTGGAGCAAACTAGTTTCAATTGGCGCTTTGGAAGAGCTTAACAAATCAATTCGGTCGACCAAAACAATGTCCAAATTTTTCAAACTATTTTTTTTTGAAAATAAATCTTTCGAGAAAACCCTAGATCTACCCCTGGCTGATTGCACATTATAACAACAATATTATTTCAAAGGGCGGGTTGATATGAAAATTAGCTTTTAGTGAAAGAAGTTTGAACGAGGATGAAAGTGAGCTAAAAATGGTAAACTGTTTTGAGGAAATGAAACACGAGAAGAAAATCCATCATTCGGGTTATGCGAATCGGAACTCACGTTAACTGACGCCACATACTAGAAAAATGCAGGCAGTTAGTTAACTTGACTTTCAAAGAGAAATTAGGCCGAACACAGCGGTTTAATCTATAAAATTTCCTGCTCCAAGTATTCACCTTTCAATGATAATCGTGCAACTGGTTACTTCGAAAAACAAAGTATGCATATAATGATGAATCCTAATATAAAACAACTGCATTGAACGAAGTTACGTCGCTGAACAAACAAAAATTGCAAAAAAAAATCAGATGGAATATTCTAGAAGGATGGCTTATATACACACTTCGCCAATTCCACTGTCATCGGCTTGTTGCTGGTGACTCATTCCTTCCATATTAGGAAATTTGTGGAAACTGTGCATGTTCGGAGTCTCGTATTTATACACGACTCCTTTCATCGGCATTGTAGCGGGTACATTATTGCTCACACTTTCTATCAGCTCATTGGACAATAATAACAAGTCTGCTGCTTTCTGATTGGTCGAAAAAGTGGACCCGGCTCCGTGCGGTTGAATTGTCATGACGTTGCAGTGCTCGCTCGCATCTGATGAGTTGGATCTCTCGCTTTCGACTGCGGCGTGGTTTCGCCCATTCATATCATCGGCTAAGTTGTATAGTGGTCCGGCTGAGTATTCATTCGGGTAGCTCGCTTGTTCATGCATGTTCAGGGATCGCAGAAGCAAAGGGTTGATTTCGGTAGGGTCTAAAAAGACACCCGATCACAGTTGAAAACTTGATTTGAATCGAGTTGAAATGTTAGCTTCAAAAAACTCCACATCTTTTCAGGAAAAAAAATAAATTTACCCGAGAAAAACCCAATTTATCCTCAATCAATACTAATTTTTCACCATACTTCTTGATTGGGTTAAATTCTACAGCTACTAACTAAAACTAACCCGAGTGTTGAAGGTTCCCGTACGACCCAAATGCCAAATGGTGTTGCGATCCCGCTCTCTGTGCCGCATTAGAACTCGGAGTCGCCATTACAGCTGACATCCCGAAATCACCCGAGTAGATAGAGGCTCTCGGGTCATAGGTCAAAGCTGCGCCGGTCGCAGGGTTGATTCCTAGAATCACATTGCTCCCCGAAACGCCTGTAGATCCAGTAAGCGCACCTGTCATTGAATTTCTGCTGTTTAACGTCAAATTATGCTGAAGTTGCGCCATGGACTCGCTTCGTGTTTGAAGAAACTGGCGGTCGCTCGGTGTCATGTTTTGATCGCAATCCGACATCAATTCGTCCCCGCTGAAGTATGTTTTCATGTTAGCTTTTGTCTCGGCTGTGAGGTAGTGAGTCGTGCCAGTCGCGGGACCACCCGAACTCATAGTGTTGTTGTATTCGCCACTCTTGTATTTTGAGGCAACGCCAACTAAAAAAACACAAACTTCGATCGCTGCTCTTTTCAGACTTTTATGGCAGACATAGAATGTGTGATTTGATTGCCTGAAGAGTTTTGGAATTCAAGGATGCATTCAAAATTGATTTTTTTCAGCCTCGACATAGAGAAAAACGATTGAAGGATTAAAGAAAATGTTCAGATTAGCGCTAATTACTTTTGCTCGAAAAAGTATGCATTTGTTAAAATATCTAATTTCGACCTTTTATTTTGTAGAAAGAGAAGGAAGATTATGAAAAAAAAATTGAAACCGTTTTTTCGAGCTCTAACCATTATAGAGACCTGAAATTGTCAAAGTTTTCGAGAAAGCCAAGAGCACGTTTTAGTATTTTGACTGAAAAAGTTGCGTTTTTATGCCATTTAACTCCATTTTTCATCAAAAAATTCAGATAAAATTTTGCAATTTTAAATAATAGAAGGGGGAGAAGGGTTGGGGTTGGGTGTGATTTACGCAAATGAAAATACTTTGACAGCTGTTTTTTTATTTTTCAGGTTGAAATTTTTTCAGACGTGGAATGATATCTCAATGCGAGAACGCCGTTAAAAAATTTTTCAAACGGTTTTTCCACTCCCATTCTATTTGATTTTAACATTTAACCAATGAGAATTTATCCAATCAAATCCAAGCAAAATGACCAGGCATTCAATTAAAAAATTGAACAGATAAAAATATTGACAATTCTTTTTCTTCTAAAACGCATTTCGAAAACTTCATTTTCAAAAAATGTGTTTTTCCCAAATGCAAACCAATGATTTCATTCTCACTTCCTACAGTTGCATTTAATTTTTTGTCTACTCCAAAGAGCCAAAAAAGTAATTATTTCAATTTATTCTCTGAAGATAGGTTCAAACTACAAAACCGTGGTACTCAGTGCTGGGCTTTTGCAAATCGAAATAGTTTGATTTAGGTTATTATTTTGAAGTTCTCATCAGGTGGTGACAAGAACTTTTCTCCCACCCAAACCCACACCCCCCCCCCCCCCAGCCACCTCGCACGAGCATCAATTTTTTGGTGTAACTATTGTATATGAAATCATCCCCCCACACGCCATATAAAGTACAAAAAGATAGATTTTGTTCCTTGTAACAAATCAATTATGGCAAATAAGCTTCGTTCAACCAATTTGGAACGATTTATAAGACGGATTAAATCTCGCTTACGCGTTAATAGTGCGAATTATATTGCGCGTTAATTGTCCCAAATTGGTCAAAATGGCCAAAATGGCAATCTTTAAACCCTCATAACTTTATGAAAAATTATCACAGGTGAAATATCTTTTCAAATTTAATTTCAGAACAATAATACCTTTCGACTGATTGTTAAAAAATCACATCAAAAATGGCTAGTTAAAAAATCGTAATTTGTCTGAAGAAAAAAACCATCCCGAGAGCAAATATTCTGTTATTTTTGTTACGAAAGTTGGAACAATAACATGCACAATAAGAAAGCATGTGCATGTTTATATATTTATACTTATTTAACGAATCCAGGATTGCATTTTTGTATAATGCACTGACTAGGGAAAACGCAACAATTACTTTAAATTCAAAACTAATTGATAGACTATGAATTTTGCAACTAGGCTGGAGCGCGGGGGTCCGTTATAACGGGGATTTTTTCAGATAGCTGAAATTGGCTTTCCGAAACCTCTGGTACCAATTTTATTCCTATCCTAACCAACAAAAGCTGCGTTGCCGGGTCTTTCCCACTCCCCCACAACCCCAGCATTCAAAGTTTCTATTTGCATCGTTATTTTATGTTAAATTATGGCTGAAGGCGAGATGTTACAATATAAAGTGTGTAGAGCAACTTTGTTCACTATATTTAGTTTGTTCACTACGCAATTTTCCTGACAGTGCCGAAGTACAGCAGCCCGAAACTGAAAATGTGTCGGGGAGTTTTTGTTTGTTTAACAAGCGTCATCTATTAAAATAGCAATTTTTGTCTGTTCAATTTCCGTCCATTTGAATAAAAATACTGTTCCACTTTCATCTCGACATTTGAAATTTTAAAAATTTTAGTTGTCTTTCTGGTATTTTGGCTGAATGCGCTGTAACAATGCAAGGCATGCATAACAAATATATTCACAATAATTAGGTTTTTCACCATATAAAACTTCCTCACATTATCACAACGTTACACAAGTTTTAGAATTGAAATTCAAAAGTTAAGGGAAAATGGTGTAGCTTTTTGACTTTTTCGGTCGCGCCGATGTGAATTCCGAGACCGAAAATAGGCTGGACAGCGTTTCATATTGCGGACAAATTCTGGAAATGCACCCGGTTTGCCCACTTTAGAAGATATGGCGTATTTGGTATGGAAAATGACTATAATCATCCGTAGCACATACATTAGTTTCAGAAACCCTCAAAATAGCTTTATGGCGGATTAAATTAGTAATAAAACAATTTTTCATCATTATGCAAGCTGTTGGTAAGATATGAAAAATTTTCAATATGCAAATTTTTAGCAGCCCTGATAACTATCAAAGTTGTCTAATTTAAAGTACAAATGTGCAACCATACGCTGCGCCATGCATGGAAAATTTTTGATGGCTTCCATGGATCCATGCATGTGCGCGACGTATATATGGTTGCACCATCTGGGGCTCTTTTCCACTCCCCCCCCCCCCCCCCCCACGTTTGAAATTCAGTTTTGAAAAAGTTAATTGACATTGCCATTATGTCATGAAATTTTGCATGTGAAGAAGCTAACAATTGTGAACAGATTTGTTCTTCATACTTTATATAAATATCTTTTTAAAGGCAAATTTGGGCAAGTAATCAAATAACGCTAGTTGCCTACAGAATTAATCATTTTGAGGGATATATCATCAAATGATTAGCAAGATGATACATTTGGTCGCCTAAAATTTCTTTGAAACTGATAGGCATCAAGAATTTTTAGCTTCAAAAAATTCAAATTTAGAATGTTCGACATTAATAAACTTAATACCAATTTTTGTTTTGATTCGTCGATCTTTTGGTTAGTTATCTGCTTTGTTAACGCCTGAATTAACCGCCTTGAATTTTTTTTTCAAGATTTTTCAAAGAATCTTCAAGATTTTTCAAAGATTGCTGGGCCTGGGCTCTCTTAATTTAAGGGACCCAACTATCATACGTTTACCGCGGCATGGTCGAAAAATTAATCGCGACCTAATTTAGTGGTTCAAATGCAATGAATGGTTCGCTCGGCTCTTTTCCCTGACCCCCACCCCACATTTGAATTTCATAGAGTGGTCCCTCGAAAAAGCAACTATGATAGACAGGTCCCGCATGCATTTCGCATGCTATAATTTTAAAATTAATGTGTATAAATTATTCATTTCAAAAATCGCGCGAAATATACTGATTCAGAAACTTTTTTCATAAAAAGCGCAATCGCTACAGTGTTTATATCAAGAAAGATGCACGCTTCAACTAATTTTACGGTTAAAAAACCATATTTGGTTTCACTTATTTGTCATCAAAACTCAATTTTGACGTTTTTTTTTCTGTTGCATTTTCCACCATGGAATGATGAGGGAGGAGGTTTTACGAAGTAAAATTTGTTTCAAAATATACTGCGAAATGTTTCTGAATGGCGAAATCATAAATTTTAAACGATTTAAGAGCTCTAGGTGTCTAATTCTCATTAGACACCTAGAAAAGGAAGCGAGCCGTTCGCTTTTCATATCATAATTAAATCGTTTAACCATAACTCTTAATATAATAGCTCATACAAAATTAAAATATAAGTTTTTTAGCGGGGAAAAGGGAAGAACATGTTGAGCATGTATGTGAATAACCTAATCGCGCTCGCAGTATTATCTAAAATATCAAAAGTTATGTCCAGACCAGGATTCGAACCTGGGTTATTGCGGCCACAACGCAATGTCCCAACGCAATGTCCTAACCACTAGACGATCTGGACCAATTGTGTAGCACATTAGGCTTCATATGAACACAAGCAACGCAACGTTTCTGTATTAGCAATGATAAATCTATTCTCCAGCTATATAAAATGAAGAATTAAAGAAAAGCTCTATAGGAATACTGATTAACAAACTGAGTTACTTTTTATTGCGTTCAGTTGATTTACGATACACCACTGAAATTAGGAAATAAATAAGTACGAAGCGAAGACAACGCAATTGAATACAATCACCCCATCATTTAATTATGATTTGATTAACCCTGCCACGAGTCAATTCTGCTTGCAAACTATTCGTTCCAATGCACACTTTTAAGCAAATGTATAATAAAACTAACGTGTTCTGTGGTTTTTCCTCTTGCATAGACAGAAGCATGAGAGGATGATAAGTAGCAGAAGGGATATTGAGCAGAGAATGAGGGCCACTAGGACTAAGTGAGTTCCCAGGAAATGGACGGCGGATGAGGCCATGAGTACAGTGCCGGAGAAAGTGTCGGCCGCCGTCTCCGATTCATGGTCTATCGAATCTGAAGTCACCCACAATTCAATGTACGTATCAATGATCAAGTTTTAATTGAACACCATATAACCATAACCCCCCCACCTCAAAATTAACAGCAGTCAAGATTAAAATCCTCCAACTCCACCTCACAGATTACTTCGTTAAAAAGATCTAGGACTTTCATTAGGTCGACCAAATTGATTTTCCGAGCTCTCTTCAATAACTATAAAGACCCTATTGAGCCAATAGGAAAAAAGGCCAAAAAATGTGTTTTTTCGGTTATACCCCTCAAGATGATAAAAATGTCAATGAACGTTTTTATAACCAATTTGGGACACGATTACTATTTAAAAAATGCTATAAATATTAATAGGACTATGCGACTATCGTAGAAACGAAGCATTTTTACTTAATTTAGCCTCAAACTAGCTTTTTTTCTCATTTCTCCATTTTTCGCCGTTTTCTGCACATAAAATTTAACAAAAAAATGTGTTTTTAATTGTTTAATATGCACTTTTTACATGTTCCTGGCTTGATTTACCGTTCGGATATCAGCCCTGCATTTGCCATTAAAATCAGTCAAATTTTGTTTTAAAAAAGTTTTATTTTCATTTTTCATCATTTAGTGGGGGTATAACATAAAATTTGGTGTTTAATGGGGCTTAAGGTGCCTTCAGAAAATTCTAGATTATTGGTCGGCCGAAAATGGATGTCGTAAAATAGTACCAAAAAGAGGAGACCCCCCTGAACGAGGACGCGGGGGAGGGGGGGTGAGGCGTCGTCACTTTCCAAGCCTTCTTTAAACCGATTGATGCTTTGTCAAAAACAACTCACCGCCACTTAGCGTCAAGGTCGCCATCTTATACGTGGTTGCCGTCTTTCCCGCACTGTTCTTCGCTACAACTTCAATCAGATACCACGCCTTAGGCTGCAACCTACGCAACGTCGCCAATTTCTCAGTTCCATCCAATTCTAGTTCCCGAATAAAAGAAGAATCGTCGCCAGAATTGTGCGAAGTCGAGCGGCGTGATTTTTTGGACCCTGACTTAATTCGGTCCATAGGTGTGCACGTGATATGAAATGACGTAATAGGGCAGCCCTGGTTGCTGTACGTGGTCAGATCCAAGGTCAGTTGAGTGGCGTTAGAAGCGAGCAGAAGTTGCGACTTTGACGGCGCTTTTGGAGCTGAAAGATATTCAGCTTTTAAGTCTTTAATCATAGTCTTTGTTATATTCAATAAGACCTAAGCTTAAATTTGCTACAAAAAGCTCAAAAGAGATCTGCTCATTGATCATGGTTTATATTAAATGGAAGATGCGATATCTATAATTGAAAAACAACAATCTAGAATTTAACCACTTTACTATTGACTTTTGATAGAAAGTTTGATCGTTAAATTCCATGCATGCGCTTTAAAAAATTTTAAAAAAATTATAAACCACCAGATTCTAATTTTATAAGTTTAACTCTAAAACTCATTTAACTCATAAAAAACCAAATGATACTTAATAATCCCCCCCCCCCCCCTATGGTACCAACTTAAGAATCTCCTCCCATATAAATAAATACTGTAAATTATTCTAATTTTGCTGCATTCTGATTGGTTGAAAAATCGACCATTTTGACCTACTTAACAATCTCCCCCCCCCCCCCTCACTTTCTTGAAAGCGGTGGAGATTGTTTAGTAGATCCAACAAAATTCTAATTTAAACCAACTCACCAGCGCCAACAGTTTTGACATTGACCAAGTTGCTCTTGTCTCCCATGCCCACTTGGTTCTGGGCCACAACATACACCGAGTAGTGGGTGCCACATTTGAGACCCTGGATCGCATACCTCTTCGGGGGAGGGGCCAACACCTGTCTCACAATCGAAAACGCCTCCCGAGAACCCTGAATGTTGTCACGTGATGATGCGAAAAGAGTCGTTGGGAGGACATTTTCTGCAGATTTTTGTAATATGTAAACAGAGTATGACGTCACTTTGGAGTCGGCGTCCGAGTGCCACGAGACTGTGACGTCATCGACCGAGACAGACTCGAGATTGAGCGAAGGAGGCCGAGGAGGCGCTGAAAAAAAAATCAAAGAATGTCGGTAATAATTTTCACTGGCTGCCTGAGACGTACTTTTATAAGTACCTAAAATGGCTGCAAAACGATAAATATTTTCTAACTAACCGAGTACTGTAAGTCGAATGCTTATTTTGTCATCTCCAAACTTATTCTGCGCATGACACGAATAGACTCCCGAATCCGTTTCTTCCGCTTGTTCGATCAGCAAACTCTGATTGTTCGTGAAAACCCGACGTTTATCCGACATCATCGACTCGGATCCTCGACTGAGCAGCATTTGGGTAGATTGCGAATTGATATCGTCATCGTCGGTGCTTTTGGACCACCAAACTTCCGGTTTGGGGTTTCCGAAAACAGGACAGGAAAGCAGCACGTTCTGTTTCCAAATTGAAGTCACATTTCGAGAAAAAGCGCCAATTCTGGCGGGAACTGAAAACAAACAAAAAAGCTTTTAAGAAGATTTCTATTGATGCGGCAATCTTACATCTCTATATCAATGCTAATATGAAAATTTTCAAAAACTAAATAGATTAGGACAACTGATGCACGAGGGAAAGAACCATGATCCGTGCTCGTTGCTTGAGGGTGAGGCAACATTACCCAGCCCAGAAAACTAGCCAAAACAACTGCATGTAGATCTTAACCAGGAGCCCAACAGCGATTCTCCCTGAAGAGCTGAACAGCTCTGATGTTGATACTTTTCCTTGTGGATAAATCGTCTTAATCTTAATCTGAATTTTCGAAATAGTGAAATTTAAGACGACTTCACCAAGAAGCTTTGGAATCTGCAGAAAATTGCATGCAGATTCCAAATACAGCCTTTCAGCCAGCCTTTATACACACCTCAGCCTCTCAAAAAAGCGGCCGAGTGTTTTTATAACGAAAGATCTTTTGCCCAATGCTGCTCACCCCTCTGGTTGATAGTGATCTTCATGGGAGCTGAAGGAAGTCCTTCCCCAGCCGAGGTGAAAGCGGACACGTATACTTTGTAGTCGTCCAGCAGTAGCAGACCATCGACCTCCAACGAATCCTTGTTCGGACGCACCAACACAGTTCGCACTCCGTTCTAAATAGGAAAAAAATGGGATCTCTTTAACACCCCCCCCCCCGTATAGTACAAAGTGAAGAATAACCACCCTTATTACGAACTGAATCAATAGTTAAGCATATTCCGATTTTGTACCTAGTAATGAATCCCCAAGCCCCCCCCCCCCCGGCCCGCTTCTTTTACAATAAGGAGAAATTGATTAAGATACTCAATAGTTGAATTGAAACGGGCGTGACTTGTTATCTCAAATGGTCGAAATATGGAACTTCTAACTAGGGTAAGGATCATTTTCAAAACATTGCACTAGGAAAAATGTCGATTTTTTTTAACTGGTCCAATAGTTGAAGAGATCCGATTTTTGTACCTGAGTTCTGTATCTATCACAGTAGACTTTGTAGCTCGTGATTATTCCATTCGGCTCTAATGGCGCCGCCCAGACCACCAAAATAGAACTGGCACTCTTCATAAACACTTTGATCTTCTCCGGACTACTCGGCTTGTCCTGGTCTGTCGTCGCGTACACAGCAGCACTCGCCACTCCGTCGCCGGCAGTCGTGTACCCGAGAATGCTTATGCTGTAGTTCGTATAGGGAGTCAAACCGTCAATGCTCACTTGGTTTTGTTTCGTAATCACCAACTCGGGATTTGTCAGTACTGAAAAAAAAAGAACATTTTTTTTAAATATATATATATATCAAACAACTTCACAAATCTAAAACAAACTTTTTAAAACAAAAAATGTAGTTTCAGGAAACTCAGAAGCAAAAACAAAAACCATTTAACTGAAAAATTAAGCGGTTTTTAATAATCTTTCATAAGTAAATATAGTATAATATAGTAAAATATAGTAAAATATAGTAAAAGATAGTAAAATATAGTAAAAGATAGTAAAATATAGTAAGTTTGATATAGCAAAAGACATGCAACTTACCATGGTCTGTTGAGTCGACTCTTGAGTAGCTCACTTTGTAGCCCATAATATCCCCGTGAGCATATCGGAGTGGGATCCCAACGAAAGACACAAAGAGAGACCTGGAATCGCGTCCAGGCACCACCACTACATTCGAAGGCGGTTTGGAGGGCACTAAAAATTCAATAGACTTCAATATTAATTTCTGGTCACGATTTTTCAATTACAATTGAACATTTTTTCAGGGTAAAGAAATAAACGAAAACTTCTGACAGGGGCTAGTCTCATATTAGAAGGACCGAATGCACGAAAATTTTCAACCAATCAACGTCCATTTAACTGTTCGCAAACAGAATGATCTTTTTTAAGCTTATCTGTTTTGAACTTTTGAATACTGAATTCTGACTGGCTGACATAATTCTCGAGCATTCAGTACTTCTGTCACAGAAGGGATTTCCCCTTCTGATATTTCGTATGGGTACCGTTTCAAAACTGCAGTTGAATTAACACAGTTAGGTGACATCAGATCTTTGTCCAGACAAGAAATGTGTTGGCCATTAAACGATATTGTTATTGGGTGGGTATATCTAGATAGATATTCTAGAATGGAAGCCTAAAGATGCAACACGAAAGTGTTTCAAAGTTATTTTTTTTTGTTTTTGTTATTTAACAGGGGTTCATTTTGGTGCCGATTTGAAAATGAAAAAAGGCGTTCTTTAAAAAAAGGTGCTGTAAAAAGGTGTTAATTCATGTTAATTTACTTGTACGATGTTTTTTACATCAGCAAGCAAATCACAATTTATAGATTAAGGCCTTAACATCAATTATGGCCTTAACATCAATTATGGCCTTAACTCTGTAACTCGCCCTACTTTCGTGGAAGCAATCTACTTTGGAATCTATTGCGCGTTTCATGTTTCAATTAACTGCGTAAACACAAGAAATCTAAATAAAAGAAACAAAAGTGGTTAGTTGGTGCCCTACTACAACAAACCTGGTAATCTATTTGCATCTTCTGAAAAAATGCTAGAAAGGTTAATGAAAGCATATTTTTCAAGCAATAATATAAAGGAGCTGATCTAGAATTTTCTCAAATTTTCTCAGTCGTAAATCATTTTTTTAGGTCAATCAAATTGATTTTCCGAGCACCCAGAACACTATAGAGACCCAATCTTGATCAAGTTTCTTCGCTGTAGGCAATTTTTCTTAAAAAAAAACAAGCAAAAACAACTGGTTTTAGGCACTTTTGGAAAATTTTGACCAGAAAATTGCGCTTTTTCGGCGCGCGCTACCTTCGAAATTAGCATATATTGGCGACAAAGGCACCCTTAGAAAAACTTCAAGGTTGGTCGACCGAAAAGGGATGTCGTAAGGTAATACCAAATTGGGGAGCCTTTGATTGGTGAGGGGGTCGAATCCGTGAGAGAGGGCGTAAACCGCCGCCACCTACTAAATCCGCCCCTGCAGTTATAAGCTGATAGGAAAAAAGCGAAGTCAGAAAAAAAATTATTTGACGAAACAATTTATTGACAAAGTTGTTTCAAATGCAAAAATCACCCTCTTTTTTAGACTGGAACAGTGTTTTTTGCTGCGTCGTGAGATAAAAAGATCTGAACAAAAACTTAAAAGTTCGGCAAAGTCGGGAGTCAAAGTAAAATAAAGCAAATTGAATATCAGTCTTTGAAAAAAAATGACTAGAAAAACAAAACAAAATTTAAACAATCAATGCAAATTTTCAAAAATTTTTCCATTCTTTTTGAAGGAAGTTTTTGTTTTTTGAAATTGTTAATGCCTAAAAAGGCGTCAAAAACACTCCAAAGAAAATCTTACTCGACTAAAATTATGCTTTTACGGTTTAAATTAAGCCTGCTCACTTGCTTGAATTTAGACGAAAAATCTAAAATTTCAAATCGGTTTTTCTCGACACTGGGAAAATGTCATTCGAATTGCGACTGAAAGGGCTTTGATATGTATTATCTTTTAACTCATTCCGATTATTGTTTTTGGTAGCTGATTTTGCGTGGGAAAACAAAGCATGAAAAAAGAAAAAAAAAGAATCATTTGAAAGAATTATCAAAACCATATTTATCTTTTTTCTTTGTTTTTGTTTTAAGAAAACAACTGATTTTTTTTTCATTTTATTTTTAGTATCAGGTGACCAAAATAGATAAAGCTGGGATATCAGAGAACGTGGCTAAAATAGCCTTGAATTTAATGATTTTATTAGTTTTAATTTTCTAGCTATGGAAGCTACTCATTTTTTGTCAGATTTAGACTGAAAACCGTACATATTCAGACCAGGTTTTCTAAAACTTCTTTTAAAATTTCTTAAATTAAAAAATGAAAAACAAACAAGAAGCGAAAAAGCTTCAAATTCACCCAACAACACTTGGCAGGTGACACCATAATTAAAACCATAGTAGACACCGCCATTAATTTGTCAGTTGATTGGAATTTTCTATACAGTTTGACAATTTTTGATGAAATTTTTATAAAACCTACCTAATCTTGGCGGAGTTTGTGACTTTTTTTCTCATTTGACTATTCATTTTATCAAGGTTATGTATTTTTGAATACCTCCAGGTTGGAAAACAATGCAGGTGAAATTTCCTGTTTTCTAAGGTGGTGACTTAAAGGTTGACCAGGTGGAGATTTAATCATTTTCGAAAACTGAAATGAGGCAAGCTAGTTGCTTCCAACAAGGTGTTAAAAGAAGCAAAACTTTTCACATTGTGCTGCGTCGATAATTTTGTTTCAAAAAAGAACTTGTTCGAAAAGGTTGTCTGCTTTTTTACAAAAAATACTCCGTACACGTTATAAAGTCGACACTTTATGTGGAGTTTTGCCTTGTTATATGTTACGCTCTTTTTCAAAGTTCTTAAGATTAATATCTAACTTTTATCCAACTTAAGAATTCCAAACAATTTTTATTGAAAAACAAAAATCATCAAAGTCTGAATATGGTTTACAAAGTGAGATATTTCGGATAACTGCATCCGAATAGCATATAATGCGAATAGCATATAATGCCACTTAAAAACATATTGGAGCTGATTAAGAAAAGGCTTTTCATGTTGAGTTCTGCTGATTCAAAACAGCGCCAAATTAAAAATCGAAACATTTTTGAGAGAAAGGCACATGATGGCCAAACAAAAACTCAGGCCAATCTGTCTTTTTTTTAGATATTTTTAAAATTTTGTTTGCTGAAATCCTAAAACAAAAAAATCATCAAAAATCCATCAAAAACAATCACTAACTTTGGAAGATTAATGAAACTACAAAATCATGAAACAACATCATCAAAAAAATTGCACATTCTTAAACTTACTGGTGAGAAAATGTCATTTCAAATTTAACCCTTCGCTCAGCAAATTTTTCGATAGCATGCATTAAAGAAAATCATGTGAGGTGAGAAAAATTAATATTTGGTTTTAGCTATTTTTTTCCTATCAGAAATTTTGTTAATCTGGTAATCACTTACAATACAATCGACTAAAACTCCTGCCATGTAAACCTTAAGATGTAAGACTCTACAAAAAATTTTTGGAAAAAACGTCTTATAGTTTGGATTCTGTTTTAAAAAACAGGTTTTTCTATATGCAATAATGGACCCCATTTTGCCCAAAGAGTGTCCACAAGTATCTGAATCTAACACTGTACGCAAAATAAAAGGGAATCCCAAGAGTTAAAGTGGCACAAAACAGAGTCTGATCAAGTACTGAAAAATTACTGATGCAGTACTAAAGTTTTACTGAAGAATTAATAAAGCATTATTTATATGCACTACAAAACCAATTCGCGCTTGTATATAACTATGCCAAAAATAACTACAATTCAAATTTGTGAGCATAAAAATTTCAAAAGTCAGATTATTACCGTCTTCTCTTGTTCTGGCACATATTGATTCTGTGTACGGTCCACTTCCAACTCTGGTTTTGGCTCTGATCTCGAAACAGTACTGGGTGAACTTGTCCAAGTACTCTATCTTTGCAGTCTGCGTCTCAACCGACACTCCGTTGTGGGGATAGGAGACAGTCACGAAAATGGGTTGAGCATTTGATACAGTAGGAGCGGAGGGTTGTTGGGTTGAGGGTGTTGGTCGAGTGTTGTTGTAGCGCAGGTCATAGCCGATGATTTTCCCGTTGCGATTGTCCATATCAGGACTCTGTAAAAAGAAGAATAATTGTTTCTATAAATTATGTTTTTTTAAATAAAGTTTAAAGCTCTCGTTTTTAAAGATACTACGTTTTTTTTGTTCCGACTTTCGATACGAAAGTAACGAAATATTTGTTCTCGGGGTGGGTTTTTTTTTCTTCAGACAAACTTCGACTTTTTAACTAGCCATTTTTGACGGAATTTTTTATATCATTCGAAAGCTATTGTTGTCCTTAGCTTATATTTGAAAAGATATTTCACCTGTGATCATTTTTCGTGAAGTTATGAGGGTTTAAAGATTGCCAGTTTGACCAATTTGGGACAATTAACGTGCGATATATTTCGCGCTATTAACGCGTAAGCGGAGATTTAATCCGTCTTAGAAATCGTTCCAAATTAGTTGGAAGAAGCTTATTTGCCATAATTGATTTGTTACAAGGAGCGAAATCTATCCTTTTGTACTTTATATGGCGTGTGGGGGGATGATTTTCATAAAAAATTTCAAATTTTAGAATTTTTTTTTTCATTTTTATTACATTTTATTAAACATTAAAAGGCAGTCGGAACATTCAGGGCTTCGCCCTGATACGAGCAGTCTTGTTTAATCTTTCTGCACAATTTGTAATTAGTATGGCTTCACAGAAACTAAGATTTTGATTTAAGTTCATTTTAAAATGCTAGAAGAGATCGCGATAACATCCTTCCCTCCTTCAAATAGACCACGTTAAGATCCTCCGCCCCAGCGTTCAATTAAAATTAAACTTGCTAAGCGCTGGGTGTCAGATGCTTTATTCTGATTGGCTGAAAATTCGAACTTAACTTATTACCAAGTTAACATCCCCCCCCCCCCCCTCCTTTTTGCAGGGTGAGGGTGTTAACTTGGTCCGTTACCGTTAAAAGTATCTAAATGTTGTACCTTCCATGAAATATTCACAGATGTCGAGGATAGCACTTTGATATAGAAGTCGGCCGGTGGCCCGTCAGGAGCTGAAACAAAACAAAAACGGACTGCTCAGAAAAAATGTGGAACTTCGATTGAATAATTCATTTTGTTGCATGTTTGGGCCCTCATTAAAATTTACAAAAATTGGTTAATTTATCAGGAAAAAAACTATCAGAAACTACAAAAATGTAGTCCCCTCCTCACCAACCAAAGAGTCCCATTTTGGTATTATTTTAAGAAATCCTTTTTCGGCCGACCAACTTGAAAGTGTTTGTAAAGGCGCCTTTGGCGCCAATATATATACTAATTTTGAAATAGAACGCACCCTGAAAAACGCAATTTTTTAAGTTAAAAATTTTCCAAGAAGTGCCTAAAAATGCCTTTTGCCCTTAATTATTCAAATGATTATTTTTTTAAAAAATGAGTAACAATTTGAAATTCTCAGCCAAAAAAAAATGGCTATACTGGAATAAAACGACCAAAATTACTGTCAAGAAGAGGAAGCAAAAAAACGCAGATGTATCTTACCTGCTTCGGCTGTGGTGACTTGGACGACCCTGGATGGTTTGGACACTCCTTGGGCTGTTTCGGATACCACAAAGAACGAGTAGCCAGTGGCAGGATGCAGTCCAGAAACCAGCACTCTGGTTTTCATGGCATCTACAATCTCCTCTTGGAAATCGGAGTCTAAAAAAATTCGGGTAGTTTTTATCCATTTCAATATCTGCGAAAAATACACCGGTTGAAAATTAAACATTACTTTCAAAAATAATTTCAATCTATTTCTGTCATTTAAGCTATATTTTGTTCATTGCAGAGGGAAAACTGTCAAATCAAAACATCGAATCTGGATTTTGTAATGAAAAATAAATTTCATTCATGAAAAAGTCTGCAAATTAATAACTGCGTCTGTTCTTATACCATAATGGCGTGTGTCTCACTTACCATATTTGGTCTTGTACTTGACTCGGTAGCCAATCAGAGGCGAGTTCCCGTTAAACGGCTTCTCCCACGAGAACGAGACCGAATCACTTGTCACTTTCGAGTATTTCAGGTTCCGAGGACTGTCCGGCATTTCTAAACAAATTCAACAAAATCAGAGACGTCTGAAAACAGACATAGTTTGTCTAATGATGATCCCCCAGACTGAGTTCTTTTAAGCTGATTTTTTATGAAACAATTTATTCTTATTATAATTAAAATTGTAATTGGGTACAAGTATGATAGTTGGGTCCGTAAAAAGCATATATGAAATATGGGTCCCCACTTTTTGGGGTCTCAAGTACCATAATTGTAATCGCAGTTGTAATTGTAATATAGCTGTAATCGCAAATAAAATTGACTCGAAAAAATACAATTAGGTATTCAGAATTCGCTCACCTAAAACTACGAGTGAAATATTGTAGACTGATTTTCCGAATGTATTTGAGGCTTCGCAGAAGTAAGTTGCAGTGTCCACTCGTTTGCTTTCGGAAATCTGTAAAAAAAAACAAGAAAAGCTAGTAAAGATGATATTTCAAGTGAAGATGATATTTCATTTGATTAGTAAATAAAAAATATCATATTAGAAAATAAAATATAATATTTCAAACGTACAGTTAAATGAGAAATTGTAGAAGATACAGGTTCCGAAATTCCGATCATCTCTCTTGAAAAGCGTCCAAGGTCATCATCTGTCAACTGCTGCTCTTTATTGACCTTTTGACCTTTAGACTGAACTATCTTGCCCTCTGCAAGTAGTGCATGAAGAGAGGGGTCAATCGATCCCCATCTGACACTCATTGGTTTGTCGCCGAATACTTCACAGGTGAGCACAACTGATGACCCGAGAGTGACTGACATTTCAGAGTTGGAGGGTCCAAAATAGGGAGGGACTAAAACGGAATCAATCAATCAGTGTAACAAAAGACCGGTTTGAAATTTTTGATTTTTCGTCTTAATTCGAGCGAAGAATGCAAGCGAGCAGGCTTATAACAGCTAAATTATGCTCAACTTAAGAGCTTAAAACTCATTCTTAAGCAAATAAAACTAGTGTTTGGAGTTTTTAGCTTAATTTTGGAACCCACGAACTACAAAAAAACTTAAAAATTTTCTGCAAAAGTCTTTTTTTTTTAGTTTTTCTAGTCTGTAAAACTTAATTTTAAGCAAATCAAACTGGTTATTGGATTTTTTAGCTTCTTTTTGGGAAGCAAAAACTTCAAAAAAATTCAAGTTAAGTTTTCCGCAAAAATTTTAAATTTTTTTTTCTAGTCATTTTTCCACTAAAACTTTTGTCCAATTTGCCTATATTACTATGTCTGTCTAATATGCCCAAATTTTATTTCTACGTCAGATCTTTTTATCACACCAAGCAGAAAAACAACACCAATTTGGTTTAAAAAAATTTCTAAGCCGCAGTTTTCTAAAAACTATGGTCGGAACATTGTGCGCTACTTGCACACTAACCGGCTATCTTTGTGTAATTTTGCAAAATGACAGCTTGAAGATAAAAGAAAATGTTTTGTGATTAAAGTATTGCTTACTGTTGACTGTAAGTTTGACGCTCTTGCTGATATCACTACCAATTCCATTCGAAGCTTGACACATATACACTCCTTGAATATCCACTTTTGCCTTATGGATAATCAAGGATCCATTTGCTGAAGATACAACATAGTCCACATTTGAGTTGTTTCTCGTTTCATCTCCGAATTCCGAGTTTGTGTCGTCTTTGATCTCAATGTACTCTACGACACGACTCGAAATGACGTCATTCACTTGTCGCATCCATTTTACCTTCGGCTTTGGGTTCCCGATTGTAGCACAAGGAATTTCAATTCGCTTTCCAAGTACAACTTGGGAATTTTTCGGCTCGTGTTGGAACTTTGGGGGTTCCAAGACGGCCAGATACCCTGAGTATGTTGCGGTTCCAACTGAGTTTATTGCTTGACACGTGTAAGTCCCTGACTGGTACGAAGCGAGAGAATCAATGCTCATTATACTCATAGCGTCTGCAGAAAGAAGTTTGATGTCGTAATTATTGGACGAGTCAATTAATTGTCCATTTCTGTACCACGACATCTGAATCGGAGGATCGCCTACACTCGCGACGCATGTTGCCGTGAACCTCTGTCCAGCGGTACGCTCACCCAGATCAACCGGTGATATTTCGGGTGCGAAAGCTACAGTTACGGAAACAGTTGCCGAGGCAGTGCCGAGCATTCGGATCGGAGAACCCGAAGAAGACGAGTCCTGCTGGTCGGGTTCGGCACGACATTCATACTGGCCAGCATCTTCTTGGGTGACCGAGTTTATTTCCAGGGTTCCGTTTTGATGCACTGCTTGCCGATGATTGTAGGGTAGTTTCTGACTTCTGTAATACCTGAATAAACCAATATCTTGATAAAATTGAAGCTAAAAACAGGAAAACATGCAACGATATACTTTTTTTGTAGCGACTTTGTTATACGGTGAGCAGCGTTAAATGGCGATACATCTTTCTAAGTTTGTTATGCAAAAAGCAGCTAATAATTGAGATTAAAGGATAGCCAGTAAATGCAATTTGGGTTAAGAGCCCTACATGATCTAAAAGGAACTCGCTCTGGCTGGTATACATGACATACCATTTCTGGGAAGTTTCGTCGAAGAATGAAGAATTGTGTTTGTACACCCTTAATAGTTGTCATTATTATTCAGATGGTTGATACTACAAATTTACATTTTTTGGCAAAGTTTTGTCTGAAACGCAGGGGTCTAGGCTTTGTTGAAACACTTAAATAATTCTAAATGCCTTTTATTGGTACCTTTTATTGTATTTTTGGAAAATTTAATGTTTGGAAAGTTTAATGATTTTTGTTTAGATTTACGTTCAGAAAAAAAAGGTCAAAAGTACTTGTAAACACTTATTGGTGACCGCTTTAAAAATTTATCCGTTTGATCAAATGCTATGAAGCATTTCGTTATCAGAAATTATTACCCATTTAATTTTTTATACATTGATATAGGCGAATTTAAACAGGGCGGATCTAGGATGTTATCTAAGAACAGATTTTCAAAAAAAATGGCGACCTTTTTTAGGTCGACCAAATTGATTTTCCGAGGTTTTGACACATAAAACTCTATTAAGCCAAAGTTTCTAAGCCGCAACGGAGGCAAAGTTTTGAGAAAAAACTGGTCTAAAATGCCGTCATTGGGTTTGTTTGACGATTTTGAACAAAAAAAATGTGTTTCTTTTTTTCCAGCGCACACTGCTCAAAATTAGTATGAATTAGCGCCCAAGGCGACTTTGAGAACCTTTTAGGTTCCCGCGGCCGAAAATGGATGTCGCAAAAAAATACCCCCATCCCTTAAATCCCCTTCCTGAAAACAGCTGAATGATTGCGGAATATTGGAAAATGCAACAAATGCAGCTACTGCTAGAGAAACTTCATCTACCATAAGCGGATCATTACCTTATTCAGACACTCAAAACAGCATCCACATTGAACTCAATGCAATTTCACATACTTTCAGTAACTTATTGAATTGTCCATCCCTTCTTTGCAAAAGTTAATTTGAATTGCCCAACTTAGAAAAAGTATCAGTGTCGGGTTCGAACCACTGTTCTTTAGAATGTTTCTGCTCTGAACTCACCAAGATATCTGTTTGATAGGGTATCCGGCGACAAAACAGTGCAGTAGCAACTGTCGCTTGGCAACCGCAATCTCATTCTCCATTTCCTCGATCAGAGGACCACCTGGAAAAACAATCAAGACAATATAAATCTGAGAATCGGACCAATTACAAGTTAGATTTGGATTTTGAAAAACAATCACACAATCTTGTATCTATGGCACGCAATTTTCTATGTATTTTAAAAACTCTTTCCAAAAAATTTCTTGAGAAGCTAAAAATTGGAAAACTTCTTCGATAGTTTCTAAACCAGTATCAAAAGAAAGTTTTTTTTTAAAAAAAATGAGCCAAAACCAATTTTTTTGTCATAATTTTTTCTTGCTTGACATGAAAAAAAAAGAGTATTTCAATTGATTTTTCACAAATAAAAACAAATATATATCTGCAAAACATGTTTCTTTGTAAATTGTAAACTAATTCAAGCATAAGAAAAATGGAGACATTTTAGCTGACCATTTTGGAGCCATTAAAACCAAAAAAATCTGTCATTGTTCTCTTGCAAAAAAGAATCAGAAGCAAAAATTCTATGTCATCATTTCTCATCTTTTATTGAACAGGAAATATGAAATGCTTTAGATATCGATGTGATAAAAAGTCTTGATTTTCTTTTCAGACAAAAAATGATAAAAACCGGGCAGCGTGAAATAATTTCACCTGTCCACTTTTACTTGCATTATTGAACAAATTCTTATGGAGGTTAACAATATCCGCCGTAATAAATATTTATTAAGGCAGCTCTTATTGTACTCAATTTCACTGCAAAAGTGACTAAATGTATTGCTGAAAAAATGTGCATTTAGAAATTGATCTGATTCTCAGTGATACGAAAAATGTTATGATTATTTTTTTAATCGCCGATTCCAAAATTTTTTTAGTTGTTTTAAAAAACTCTGTTGGTTGAATTATACTTTTTTAGAACTTTCAAACTTGAAAATTATGAAAACAAATGATGATTAGTTGATTACTCAGAGGTTGGGGGGGGGGGGGGGGGTTGGAAGGGGGTGGTTTGGTAACGATTAAACAGTGTCATACTGAATTGAGCACCAAAACCAAAACTGCGTTTTTAGTGGTTTTTTCAAATGAGCAGAAAAAACAAAGCTATATTTTGTTCTTGTCACCAAATAATTCAAACAGATTTGTTTCGGTCATCGTTGACACCAGTGATTGACATTCGAAAAAGTTCTCAATTTGACTATGAATGACTGGCTTTCAGAAGCCTCGAGGATCATTAAGGTGACAAGCGTATTTATCGAAGGTCAATCAACTTCTTTTCTTCACTCATTGTAACAACACCATCACTTAAAATTTTAACAGAAAAACAAGACGCTCGTATCACTGACTTGTTAGGTCGCTTCAAGTAGTTTGTGGATCAAAAAATAAAGTTGATTTTTTTTGTTCGAAAACCATCTTTGATTTATTTTTGGCCGCCACTTATTTTTGAATATGTTCCAATATTGATCTGAGTTTTAAAAACTAATAAATGTAAAATATAAAAAAATCTTTCACAAAAAAGTTACTACGTTATTGGACCCGTCTATATAATCGGTTTTCAAGAAGTTTAAACAGTTCAAGTAATGTTTCAACATACTTAAGCTCTCTGAGCTCAAAAAATAAAAAACGTTTGCAAACCGAACTAGATTGCGAAGTCTTGAATGTTCTGACAGCCCTTCAAAACAAAGTTTTTGATGTATTTTTGGCAAAACAATTATAAGATAATTTTTCCTTTTTTCAACATTTATGATTTGCGGTACGCGTTAAGTTATAATTGGAATTTTTTGCAAAGTTATTATTCCAAATTATTCAAAATGGCAAAATTCAAACTTCCATACAAAAATAGTTACTGGTTTTGATTTTCAGTTTACGGCATAGATATTTTTAAGAATCCATGAAAAAGTCCGTCAACAAGGACCAGTTGCAAATTCTCAATACGTCAGCAGAAAAAAAACAACACGATAACAAATATTCGGTCATTTTCTCTGAAGTATAAACAACAAGTCTGCTCGTATCAGGTAAAAACCCTGAATGTTTGTCTGCTCATTAACTGGTCTCGAATAGTTTTTAATTAAATAAATTTTGAGAAAAAACTATGATTTTAAGGCTGATAATTAGAGTCGTGAATGGAATTTTTAAGATCAATTTGCCTGCCTCAGTTCAATTTGGAATTACTTTTTCAGCACAGAAGAAAAAAAAAACGAACAATTTAGTTTAAGACCATTTATCCACGGGGGAAAGGACCAACACAAGAGCTGTACAGCTCATCACGGCGAACCGCTGTTGTGCCCTTGTTTAAGAACTACATGCTATTTTTTTGGTTATTTTTCTGGGCTGGTTAATGTTGCTTCACCCTCAAGCAACGAGCACGGATCATGGTCGACTTAATTTAACTTAAATTAAATTCAAATTTCAACACAAGCGTCGGTTGTGCAAGGACGTCTCTAACGAATTACTTAGAACACTCCTAACTGCTTAGATCACATCAACGTGATCTGTATGATACACAACGTATAACAAGACTGCTCGTATCAGGGCGAAGCCCTGAATGTTCCGACTGCCTTTTAAGGTCTATGGAACCTTAATAACATGAAAAAATCAAATGTATTATAATAAAATGATTTTTTTTATTTCAAATGTTTTTGTGAAAATCATCACCCGTCACGCCACATAAAGTACAAAAAGATAGGTTTCGCTCCGAGTTACAATTCCACCCGAGCACAAATATTCCGTTACTTTCGTTATGAAAGTCGTAACAAAAATTAGTCCAACATGCAATATTGACAGGTACCGAAAGCTTGTCTTGCTGCGCTTAAGTTAGACACAAGCGGTATAACGTGCTGGAAATTATGTTTAGATTGTTTTCGGTAGTTAAAAAGAAAGCAGATATTTGATTTTTGACGAGTTGTTTTTTTGCTACGAGTTGTTTTATTGCGATTATCAGTGGCTTGAGATTTTTTTTTCGACGACAGGGGGATGAAAGCAATTTTGTCAAGTTTTCTAAGGAAAGCATTATCATTTTTTAAGCTCTAAAATCAGGAGCATATTGATTATTTTCTCTATGGAGGTGGATATTCAAAAAATTCAAAAGTTCTGTCGACATTTTCAGGTCGGTACAAATTAATTTTCTGAGCTTCCTCACAATAGTATAAAAACCTATAGTATAAAGAACCCTAAATGCCACGTTTTGCCCAAAAATTTAAAATTGCGTTTTTTTGCGCGCTTCTGCTCGAAATTAATATGAATGATCGCCAAAGGATTGCTCAAAATTGAATAAGTTAGCTCGAAAAGAATATTATAAAAAGAGTTCCAAATATAGACGCTTTGGCCTGCGAAGGGGTTCATTCTCTGAAAGCCCTCTCCCCTGACTACCACATATGGGATTTCTTTGGGAGTTAAAACTCTTTCAACTGTGAGCACTACGAAAAGACAGCAAACTCCAAAATAGGTTGTTGACCCCATTTTTCGGATGAAACAAAAATCAACGAAAACGCTGAGTGATGTCAAAAAAAATTCGTTGTTTTCCGCTGGGTTTGTCAGCCAGTTTTCTTCATTTTACTGCTAATATCTCAATTTGATCTACGTTTTAAGCCACGTGAAATAATATTCAACTTTTGTTGTTTTAATACGTCAAAAATGGTTTGATTATTTTGGTAAACGTGTTAATTACCAATAAAAACACAATCAGAACTGAATACAAAATGATGTCCCGTTGTCTGTAAACAGCAGCTTTCGTTTCAAAAACTCAAATTAGCTTCTAAAATTCAAACTCTGCATGCAAAAATTATGGTCAGCTCTCGTTGAAGAAAACCAGCGGGAAACCAATTATCACATTAAAAACGAGGTAAATGAATTACGTAAAAAAAACAATTGGTATCAATTTGGTGTTCAATTGTTTCTCTTGTCAAGACTAGCGATTGGCCTCTTATCTTTTAGCTAGTGCAACTTTCAAATCGAAGTTTCATAATTTTATTCGATGAAAATTCAAGTTACGATTCAAATTTTGCCGACATTTTTTAGGTCGTTCCAAATTAATTTTCTGAGCTTTCTCAGAATAGTTTAAAAAAACCTATAGTATAAAGAACCCTAAATGCCACGTTTGGGCCAAAAATTGCGTTTTTTGGCGCGCTTCTACTCAAAATTAATATGCAAAGGAGCGCCAAAGGATTGTTCAAAAATGAATAAGTTACCAGAAACGAATCATGATATTTTCGCTTGAAACGATTTTGTAAAAATTCAATGGTTATATTTTTCCACGAAAAGTCTATAACACTTTCTCCGAGCATTAATAGTCTCTCTATCCAGTTTTGTGTAAAATTTATTGATTTGATAAAATAAGTAATTCTGAAGTTTGTTAAAATTTTTTCTAACCTTTGACGTAGACTTTCTCTGTGTATTCATCAACACCAGCTTTATTGAACGCCTTGCAAGTATAAAAAGCACTGTCGGTTAATTGCACTTTCGGAAATGTGATCGCACTTTTCACACTGTACGCTGACATAGTTATCGTTCGGAAATTGGTCCGTTCGGGGTCGTAGGCCGACTTCCTGTCGGCTTCTTTGCCCAAGTAGTCGCTTAGGTATTCGTAGTTCAGAGGGTAGATGGGTTTGAAGTTTTTGAACCACGTGATTTCGGGAAGGGGACTCCCGAAAGCAGTGCATTCAAGAGTGACCGGAGAATTTACACTTGATATTTTGGTGCTGAAGACGCCTGTCATTTCGGCAGGTGTTTCTGGGAAAAAAAAGATGATTACTTTTAGAAACAAATTCCTCGAACAATTTTTTATGTTTTGAACTATCTTTCCTGTGACATTTTGGTGTATATTGACATTTCTTTTTATTAAAATGTTCTCATAAAAGACACTCAAATGAATTCTAATTGCAGCCTTTGTTTTTCTAATAACCTTTTATTGCCTTACTGGAACAAAGAGAACAGTCTCCCCCCGATGTCAATTTAGGGAGGAGATTGTTCACTTGATTACAGGTAATATTTTTCAGCCAATCGGATTAGAGTACAAGTTGGCATTACTGCATGAATTTGTCATTTATTTATTTTTTGCGGGGGGGGGGGGGGATTTTCAGTTGGTTTTATTTGGGGGGGTCTAATTTTAATATGATCAGCCTTACCTTTCAGTACAACTTGGATTCTTCCGCCTACATTTTGACTGGAGCTGTGAGCAAAACACTGATATATGCCCAAATCCTCAATTTGCACACTGGCAATTCTTAGTCTCGTAACTGGTTCCGATGTCTTCGGAATATGCTGCACCAAAGTAGCATCTCGGAACCATTTTACCTCTTGTAACCTCGTGCCTCTCAGAGTGCAATTCAGTTCGAGTGGTTTGTTCAGTTCGGCCTCTATTATGAAACTCGACTGGTCGACTAACTTGAGAGGATCTACAAAAAAAGGAACCAACATTGAGAGCATCTAAGAAAAAAACAACAGAATAAAAATAATTCGAGCCAAAACATGTAATGTAAATAAATTTAAATGAGAATAATTATCAAAAATTATCACTTTTTTCATAGAAAACAAACTGAGCCTTCGGATCTCTTCCAATGTAAAAAAACTCCCCTCTCACAAAACTGAAATTACTGTGTAGTGGGACGATAACTTTTTGTTTTTTTGCTAGTAGACATTTTCCCGGAGTTCTATAAAATATATTTTTTTCTGAGAATAGGAAAGAGAGTCCAACCTTCTATAGATACAAAATAATGCAGCGAGTCCGCTCCCAGGTCGTTCTGCATAGTACACGTGTAAGTGCCACTCTGCCCGACTTGAGCATTCGGCAATACGAGAACATCCGAAGTGGCATCCAGCGTCCTGCTTCCCTGCTTCCACGTGAACGAAACGGGAAGCGAGGAGCGAACGAAGCAGACTAGTTTGACGTAGTCGCCCACTTGCGCTTCGACTGTGCGGACAGATCGGCTCAGTTGGGACTCGTAACTCCTCGGAGCTCTTTCAGTTACAGCTGAAAAAAAAACTTTTTTATTCTGAAGAATAAACAAATTACGAGTTTCAGCAATGTTATATACAATGTTTAGTTGTTTAGCTTTTTCCATCGCTTTTTTAAAATGTTTCGAATCATTTTCAAAGGTTTCCAATTCGTTTTTGCAAGGTATTGGCTTTGCATATTGCCGCTATAACAAGTATTTTTTAAATCAAACCGCCAACAAGACATTTTATGATCATCAAAAAGCCGGAAGATTTCAAATTTGGTCACACAAAATGACTTAAAGCCTAACGCAGGGTAAGAATCGAGTTAATAATAAAAAAAAACATTGTTTCGAGTATGGACCCAAAAACAATCATTCTAAATTTTTTACGTAATCACTCAATTATATTAAAAATTCCACTCTGGGGTTTTTGTCCGTTTTCAGACGTATGTGGTTCTCGAATCTGGCATCTTTTTAGACGTTTGCAGACGTTCCTTCAGACACGAGAGACGTGAACTAACCGTGAATCTGAAGTCTAGCAGCTGGACTGTATTTCTTCACCTTCGTCACTCTGTGGATTGCGTGACACTTGAATCTCTGCATGTTGTCGTGTTGAGTCACGTGCCTAATGTATAACTGTCCTCTAGACGTGAACTCATACCGACCTCCTAAAAACAATATTGACCTCAATTGACATTCAAGAAAACTCGTCTTTTTTCTGAGTAAACATAACTGAAAGGTTTGTATGCACACATGTATGTCCAGGTTATGAAACAAACTTTCCCTCAGGGATTCGACCCCCTGCCGACCCAAAGGGTCCCCCCTTTGATACTTTTTAAAAAATTCACTTTTGGCCGACCGACCCTAAAATTTTTACAAAGGCCCCTTCGGCGCCAATATATACTAACTTTGAGGGGGAGCGCGCGCCAAAAAAAAACGCGATTTTTTGTCAAAATTTTTCAAAAAGTGCCCAAAAACGGCTTTGTTGACTGTTTTTTCAAAAATTTGCCTGCGGCGCTCAAAATTTAGCCCAAAATAGGGGAAAAACTGGTTTGGGAGAGCTCAAAAAATCAATTTGGTCGGCCTAAAAAAAAATTTTTTTTTTGAAAATTCGACCCCCCCCCCCCCCCTCGAGAATATCCTAGATCCGCCCCTGGAGGGAGGGGATTTAAAAATAATATTTGCAAAATTCGCAAATATCAAAAATGGCTGAGGTTCGAGTAAATGTTTTGTGAATTTTCCCTTGCCACAACAAAACTTCACCCAAACAAATCCCTCTTGAAGAAAATGAGTCATTTCGAAATAAAACTCAGTCAGAAAAGATGGCTAAGGAAAATAAACAGAAGCGAGAAGAAAAGTCGAAACTCACGACTAAAGACTAAATAAAGCAACTTTTTTTGTACCTTTCGACCCAACATGTAGCCAGCGTCCTGTCAAGAAGTTGTCGCAATATTTATAATGATATAAGACAAAGCTTTAACATTTACAAAGCTCCAAATATATCACTGACAAAGCTTTCTTCGTATAAATTTCCCAGACAGTGAAAGGTTTTCTAAGATTTAATTAAATTGGCTGGCCTAAAAAGACCAAGTTTGTCGCTTTTAAAACAAATTTTTCTTAAAAGGTCTCCCGCTATACTTTATGTCTCATCCCCCTCCCCCTCCCACCTAACCAAACCGCCCCCCCCCCCTCTGACTCACCACTGTGGTCCAAGTCGTGTAGCCAGTCGACTACATCCACATATGGCCTCACATGAGGGGGCACTCTGCAGGTGAAGAGGGCGGAGGAACCCAGTTGGGTGGTAACTGAGTCCACTTCCAGGGCCCAGTCGTTCACACTCGCCCCAAACACTGAAACAAAAATATTTCATCTTGAAGTCAATAATTGAAAAATTTGCAGCAGAAACAACTAAGATGCGATGCAGTAAGTAACTCCAAACCAGTGGCGGTTTTAGGGGGGGGGGGGTGTTTTCGGACGCCTCTTTCCTCAGCGATTAGACCCCTGACTACGCAAAGGGTTTCTTCCCCCTTTGATACTAATTTAAAAAATTTGCTAGCGGTGCAAAAACTTTGGCCAAAACAGGGTCTTTTTAGTGCTTTGGGAGAGCTCGGAAAATCAATTGGAACAAACTAAAAAAAAGTCGAAAATATTTTTGAAAGATTTTGAACCTGCCCTGTTCAAGAAAATTCTAGATCCGCCGCGCTCTAAATCCTAGTAAAACAGTTTGAAGCTTCAAAAATGCTTAAAAAATAGCGTAAAAAAACAAAACTGTGCCTTGAATGAAAATCTTCAGCTTCAGAATAAAAAAAACTCAGAGACTTAATGATTCGAACTGGGACTCTTTCATAAACCTTTTGGCCAATGTGCTTGGTTGGCTAAATTTTCACGTATTATTTTTGTTAGATTAGGCAGTAAGTGATTCCAATGAATTAAAATGGATTTTCGTCGGCTAAAATATTGCCAAGATAGTAGATTTTTGTGGCAAAACTAGACAACGTAATGAATCATATGGTTTGATATAATCTATTATTTTCCCAGCAAAAAATCCATTAAAATCCATTAAAATCTTTTATGAATCTATATAATCCATTTTTTCATAATTGGTTTATTTTTTCTCACATTTTCCATGCGTTTTGTTTTACTGCAATTTTGTTTTTCATTTTGTGGTCTGGTATTTCTGCAAACGCCGAAAAAATGAAAGCCTTGATTTTGTAACAATATAAAAATTATAATTTTTCCACGCGTTCGAATTTAATAGTGGCTCCTACTTGCAAGCAACCCCACGTCTGATCCATCACAAAAAAATTTAAACAAGGATAGCCGGTGTCTGCGAAAGTAGCACAGAATGTTCCCACCATAATCGTAAAAAACATTATGACACGCTTTTTCATGTTTTTTTTCCAAGTTAGAGTTGTTTTTCGTTAATCGTGTGATAAAAAGATCTGACGAAAACCGAACATTTAGGCATATTTAGGCATTTAGCGACATTAGAGATTATTTCAAAACTTTGAAGTTTTTATTCTTAAGATGGCGCTTAAAAACTTCGAAAAATAATTTAACTGAAGTTCAATTAAAGTTTCATGGCTTATTCTTCTATAACAAGTTTGTTCGCTTGCTTTACTCGTTCGAAATTCAAATAAAACTGAAAAATTCCAAACCAGTTTTTCTCATCACCGGGACAAACCGTTGAAATTTTTCAGGGCTGAAAATTTCAGGGCTAAAAGGGCTTTAATATGATATATCAATCCACTCAATACGATGGTTTATTTGCGGTAAAAACTTTCTGTTGAAAAACAAAGTAAGTATGCTAGCTCACCTCATTTGCTCAAAAATTGTCCAAAAACCATCCAAATTGTCCAAAGTTTCAAACTAATTTTTCTCAATACTGGTTTTTTTTGAATTTTTAAATGTCGTTCGAATTACGAATGTAAGGGTTACAACTAATTTTCACCTAGCAAGAATCAAGGGGTGACCGCCCATCACATAGGTTTTAAAAATATTATTTTGAGTAAAATTGCAAATAACTTTTTGTAGTTATTGAAATTTTGGGCGGCAATAAGCGTTGGATTCAAGTCATTGCACTTCAAGGGTGATGCTGAAAACAAATTTTTCAGCTTAGGAGCTCTGATTTTGTGTTTTTATTTTTCCAAATTTTTGTGCCATTGCGTATAACTTCTGAAAATCATACGAAATATTTGTACTGAAAGACAAGACTGCTCGTATCAGAGCAACGCCCTGAAGATTCCGACTGCCCATTAAGTTTAATAGTTTTGGTGAATGAAATAATGACCAATAATAAACTTTAGGCTAAATATATACAGTAGCACATTATGTTATTAGGACGAATTAGTTTGAATCAATTCAGTTTGAAAAGATATGTAGTGCGGGATAAATCGCCACACATAAATAATGCATTTTCACTTTCAGCATCAAAGTATAAAACGAGCAGTTTAGTTAGACTCATTTCGCAGCAAACATAAAGTCAGGATAGCAAATATATTGGTGAGCGCAACCCTTCGGAGAACACGAAGATCATGGGATTGCTCCCACGAGAGTAACATTCTTTTGAAAATTCTGGTCTGAATAAAAACATCACCCATAGCATATACATTCCTCATTTTCTTCCCAAGGTTTAACAATAAAAACACTAAACAAGACTGCTCGTATCAGGGCGAAGCCCTGAATGTTCCGACTGGATTTTAAGGTTTATTGAGCAGCAGTAATACATAAAAAAAATAAATGAAATAAAATAAAATGAAATTTTTTTTTCTAAAAGTTGAAATTTTTTAATGAAAATCATCCCCCCACACGCCATATAAAATACAAAAAGATAGATTTCGTTCCTTGTAACAAATCAATTATGGCAAATAAGCTTCGTTCAACCAATTTGGAACGATTTATAAGAGGATTTAATCTCGCTTACTCGTTAATAGCGCGAATTATATTGCGCGTTAATTATCCCAAATTGGTCAAAATGGCCAAAATGGCAATCTTTAAACCCTCATAACTTTACGAAAAATGATCACAGGTGAAATATCTTTTCAAATTTAAGCTCAGGACAACAATACCTTTTGAATGATATAAAAAAATTTTATCAAAAATGGCTAGTTAAAAAGTCGAAATTTGTCTGAAGAAAAAAAAAACCCACCCCGAGCACAAATATTCCGTTACTTTCGTATCGAAAGTCGGAACAATGAGACGTCAACACTAAATGAGACGTCAATTTTTATTGCTTCTCGAATTGTATTATTGTTCCGACTTTCGATACGAAAGTAACGGAATATTTGTGCTCGGGGTGGGTTTTTTTTCTTCAGACAAATTTCGACTTTTTAACTAGCCATTTTTGACGGAATTTTTTTTATCATTCGAAAGCCATGGTTATCCTGAACTTAAATTTGAAAAGATATTTCACCTGTGATCATTTTTCGTAAAGTTATGAGGGTCTAAATATTGTCACTTTGGCCATTTTGACCAATTTGGGACAATTAACGCACGATATAATGCGCGCTATTAACGCGTAAGCGGAGATTTAATCCGTCTTATAAGTCGTTCAAAATTGGTTGAACGAAGCTTATTTGCCATAATTGATTTGTTACAAGGAACGAAATCTATCTTTTTGTACTTTTATGGCGTGTGGGGGGATGATTTTCATTTAAAAAAATTCAAATTTTGGAAAAAAAAATTTCATTTTATTTTATTTCATTTAATTTTTTATGTTATTACTGCTGCTCCATAAACCTTAAAAGGCAGTCGGAACATTCAGGGCTTTGCCCTGATACGAGCAGTCTTGTTAAGTCTTCATCTTGATATCATTTCTAACGATTATTTATGATACATAAATGAAAATGATACGTTTTTCAGCATACTAATTTTTCCCCCGAAAATTAGCACTTTTGAATTCTAAATTTATTACCACTACATATTGGGAACTAAGTTTGACAATCTGTTCAGTAATTTTGAGTTGTATTAAGATGACAATTCATTTGAACACTCAAACGCTCAAACGGCAATGAAAAATTTTAGCAGTTTTTCTAGCCTCCGTTTTTGCACATCAACCGGACACATGTATTCAATTCAGCAGTTTTTATTGAAAACGTTTTTTTACGCCTGTGCATTTTCCAGGCCATAAATTGCACATTTTATTCTACTAGTCGGTGGAAAAACAAAGAATCAAAAATGTACATTTATTACACCAAGCTGTCAAATTGAACACGTTAAAATGTTTTAAGTTGACAAAATAGCAGTTAAACAGTCAATTTTCAGAGATTAAAAAAGCGCCTTGGAGAGAAAAACATCTGAAATTCAGCAAAACACGCCTACGAAATCAAGAAAAACACATTCTTAGGTTGCAAAACGTCGTTAACATCTGTTTAGGTTTAATCATGAGTCATCATATATTGCATAAATTATGAGTTGGACTGAAAAGTTCTGAAGCAAAAATATGTAAAAGCCTTGGACATCAAAAGTTTAGCTCATCAAAAATTGAAGTTTTTCATCACCAGCAAGGTTAGATCATAAATAATTGAAAGTATGCGTCATGGGTCGAGTAATTTTATAAATATGCTTAAATTGATGGGATTTTAGAAACAAACACAGATAAAACATAGATGTCTCAGTAAAAACAACCAAGACATCGCTTGATATATTTAAAAAACAAGATAGTCGTCAAAATTGTCACACAGTGGTTTTGTGGTTAAAATTTGTCGATGAAAAAAAAACAAAAACAAAAGCACCAAGCTGTCAAGTGAAGTGACGAACATTGGTCAGACGAGAAAAAAAATTTAATTGCTTTCTGAAGAAGCGTTACTAAACGTCAGTGGAAACGTTCTTCGCAAACTGATTAAACTATTAATCGTTCAACGAGCTTTTGTTTAAAAGCCAAGAATTTTCAAAGTACAACTAAAAGTTCAAGTTTATGAAAAATCGTTTTTTGTTTTTTGAGTTTAATGATAAAAATGTGGCACATTACTAAACAGTTAAGTTATAATTTCAGGTAGCAGTTCCTTGCTGTTATAAACCACGCTTTTGATTATTAAATTTGTAATAACCAAGTTAATAAAAAAATGTTCAATGTTGTATGTTATAATTTATTAAAATGTTCAACGCTTTTGTTTTTAAAAAATGTTATATTTGTTTTATTTTTTTAAACAAAAATGTGACTTAATTTAGTTGTAGGCTGAAAAAACATTAGTCCCAGTGGGAATTCAAGTTTTAGTAGTTTTTCAGTTTTTTTGTTGATGTACTAACAGGGTGTGATGCTAATTGGCAGACTGATCACTGAGCCGAAAGGGTTCATGGCCACACAGTGGTAAGTGGTGTTGTGAATGTCGGGCGAGAACCGACTGCTGTCCGAGAAGGGTCCGATGTGCAGACTGGAGTTTGGAAGGATGGCACGTGACCCTATGACGTCATTGACTTGGGTGAACCCATCTGCCATACGCCAGGTGAGCTGTTAACAGGAAAAGTATAAATTCAACTGAAAAAAATTTCCTTCGACGATGAATCAAAAATTGAGAGATGACGATGAGAGATAACATGATGTAGAAATTACAATATTTAGATTTTTAATTAACTAATCCGATGGTTGTTACTTTAAAATTCACATTCTGAGCGAAGAAGTTTCTCAGAACTTTTGGGCAAAAACTTTTCAAATTTCTAATTTAACTATAGGTTTGCCCAATTTATGACTGAATGTATGTTCTTGCAATGCAAAGTATGAAGAAAAAATTGTTCAAAATAGTTAATTTGTTCTTCATGCAAAATTCATTGTATCATGACAACTCTAATTTTGTTTTTCGAACTTAAAGTTCAAATTTGGGAGGGGGGAGCTGAAAAGAACCCAAAAAATTGTTTACCTGTGTGTGGGCTAATTTGGTCACACATTCTAGCATGACCCCTTTAGATGCCTCATACACAATTTCCTGTGCAGGCTGGTTGATGATTTCAGGCGACATACTACTCATGTAACGCCTACTGCTCTGCACATCGGAACTATCGGCGAGTAGGAACTTTCCGTAGTCTCCATCGATTGCGTAATCGCCATCGATTGCGTAATCGGTTGAGATGTCGTCTTCTGATTGGGTAGATCCATGTTGAATAATGAAAAGTGATATCAGAAAAAAAGCCAATGGGCATCGTCTAGTCTTCATACTTCGCAGAAAAGTATGGTGGATACTAAAACAAAAACCCCAAAGTTTAGACTGCTAACGAGTCGAACACCATGTCACAGGGCCGAATACGCGGATAGCCGAAAAATAAAATTGCCTCTGGATAGCCTGAAAAATTTTCAGAAAAAAAGTTCCAGATAGCAAAAAAATTCGATTCAATCTACACCAAAAATTAATTGTTTAAAATTTTAAAAATATAATAATTATAGCATTTTCCTATTTTAGCACCCCCATCCCAAGTAATTTATGGACCCTCAGAAAAGAAATTTTTTATGATGGGGAAATGCTTGCTTGAAAAAATTCAAAAAAACTTTTGGATCAGCTAAACTTGAGCTATCAACTTGAGCTAAACTTGAGCTATCAATTTGAGCTATCAACTTGAGCTAAACTTGAGCTATCAACTTGAGCTAAGCTTGAGCTAAAATTTGACAAAAAATGTTGTAGAAAAATGATTAAAAAAAAAAATTTAAAAAAATCAACATTTTTTATTCAATTTTTTTCGGTAGAAAATGTATTGAATTTTTTCAAGTTTTTTGGTGCCTAAAATCTTGCTAAAAATCTCTAAAAACTAGTTTTACTTGCTTAAAATTAAGTTTTCAGGGCTGAATTTAAGCATAATTAGGCTGTTGTAAGCCTGCTTGCTCGCTTTATTCACACAAAATTGAACTAAAAATCAAAAATTTTTAACAAGTTTTTCTCGGTACTGAGAAATATTTTTGAAAATTTTTAATTTCGTTCAAATCTTGACTGTAAGGGCTTCAATTTGGATTAACTTGCAGAACGTGTAACTTTGCAGAAGTTATGCTCATGAAAATGAAAAATAAGAAAAACGCACCAATATTTAGCGTAACTCGACCATAAGATAAAACTATCAAAAATGTTCAATAAACCATTAAAAAACCACTTAAACGCAATCGAGTTTTCAGCTCAGTTTAATCTATCTGCCAGTGAAACTTGCATGTCCGCCCTTTTTTTGAAAACAATTAATATTCATTCAACGATTCTACTAATAGTTTGTAATGAAAGAACAACGCTTGTTCAATTGTTAAAGCAATAAATCAATAGTTATGAACATCCAATTATCAGATATGTTTTGCGTTTTGTTTCAGCCAGGTCGATTGCTTTAAACTTGAGTGCAAATTCAGATGTACCTCATAATTTAGAAGAAATTGCCATCCATAGAGCAGTAGCTTGACGCCAGGGAAACGAAGTTGCCACCCTCACCCCTCCCCTCCCGGGTTGACCAAAAATGCTAGTCATAGAATTTTCATGCAATTCCATAAGTACAGAAAACTGCATGAAAAGTCTATGACTATTAATTTTTCATATATGGAAATTGTATGACTAGCATTTTTCCATAAACCAAAAATTTTTTTTTTTTTTACCATTTAATTTCTCAAAATTTTTTGGTTGTGTTCGTAACCCAATACAAGTGACAAAAAACTTGGTTACTCAAACATAGAGTAACCAAAAATTTAACCGTCTCGCATCAAAAATGCATTGGAAGCGGCCTGAAATGGAATTCTGTCGCACACAAATATTTTAACGAAAGTGTCAGAGTTTTAAATTTTTACAAAAATTTTCAAAGTGAATGTTTCTAAAATTTGAAATTTAAATTACCAGACATTGATCAAGACATACACAAACATGCCACCCAAAAGAAAGAGGAGTTTTAAGCGTTTTTGAAAAAAGTTATTAAGCAAAAAGGGAAAAAATTCAATATTGGTGTGTCCAGGACTACATTATACACACAAAAAATTAAATTTTGCATTGAATTTGTTTTTTTTCAAAAATCGATTTGCGGTTGAAAAACACACAAAAATTTGGGGGCCTTTTCGAAAATACTATGGAAATTTTTTGTTGTCGCTATCAAACAAATGCTAGTCACACATTTTCCACATATAGAAATGGTTTGATTAGCATTTTTTTGACAAAAAGTTTTTCTTTTTTTTAGTACGATACACCGAATTTTATGCCAAAACATGAGAAATTTCTTGAAAAAGTCGATGATACAATTTTAGCAAAATGTGTGAAAATTGTTTGACTAGTATTTTTTCATAAATTAAGTTCATGGAATTTTATGATTAGCATTTTTGGTCTATGGAGGTCAACCCTAGCTCCCTACAACTCTGGTTGTCAAATTTTCTCAAATTGACCCCCTTTAGAACTATTTTGCGACAGCCATTTCTTATTAACCGGCTCGGAAATTTTTGTCAAGGCGTCTTTGGCGCAAATATATAAAAACTTTTCAGGAAAGGCGAGAGAAGCCAAATTTCTCAAAATTGTCAAGACTTGAATTTCGCCCAGAAAAATTTCCCACGGCGGAAATCATTTTGGGCTTGCGACAGAGCTCAAAAATTTTCAAATGGCGGCGTTTCATGTCGATGTTTCAGGTACAGGATCTATTTAGCATTTACCCCCTTTTTTTAAAGAAAAGGGGCAATTGTTAAATAGATTTGAGTGGTAGAAGCTTCGACCAATCAGAATGCAGCAAAACTCAAATTTTACATACAACGCAGCAAAAATTTCTTTAAAAATATTGATAGTTTAGTTTTTGCGTTTTCTTTGAAATACAAGCAAGCTTTTCTTCGACATCGCAGAGCCAATTTACACGAAACCTATAAAGAATTTAAAGAAATCCAAGCCGTTGGATTCGAACCATGAATCAGAAAAATAAAATTAAAATTCTTTTATCACCTTAGATCGCGCTGTAATAAACAAGGATCGGTTTTAGCAATTTTTACATGAAAACTATGCTTAACTACTCGTTGTTTTTTTGACATATAATACAGGGCTGATTTAAACTTATCCGGACAAAACACATTAACCTAGAAATTTAAAACGCGATTTTTCTGAAATTAGGTTAACTTTAGGTAAGAAATGACAAAGGCGAAATGATGACTTGCTTAAAACTTTAACGGAATTTGGCCCAAAAATTATCATAAAAATTTATATCAAAATGAGCCTCTTACGTAGCCCAGCATAATTTTTCTAAAGGCGCTTTTGGCGTCAATAGTTACTAATTTATAGGGGGAGCGCTTTTTTTTCACTAGAAACACTTTTTTGGCCTGTTTTTAATAGTGATTTGGATGAGCTCAGAAAATCAGTTTGACCAAACTATAAAAGGTGTCGACAAATTTTTCGAAATTTTTTCGACAAATAAAATTATTTTAATTTAGTACGAGATGAGGACCAATCAATTGGTACTGTTTTAAGAATTTCAGGTAGCTGCAAAAATGATCAACTAAAACTATGAACAGATTTCAAAACTTGTTTGCTTTCGTGACATATGCACTTTTTCAGTTGACATTTATGAATTTTTGTGCTGTCGTAAGCTCCTAAATAGGAAAGAAGGATTTCTTTTACTATTTCTCCACTATTGTAAAACAGAGGAAGTAGTTAAAGAAAAATTGCATATGCTCACCCATTGATATAGTTCTTCATATTTCTTTATATGTTGTTCATTGCTAGATTTATAAGAGGAATAATAGGGAGATCCAGAAAGAATAAAGGCGAAAAAACTCATCTTATGATTTGACTACTTTTGAAAGTCATTAGTCACATATTTTCAATCAAACACGGTAACAAAATTCAAACTAGTTAAAATCATCTAACTGGTAAGAAATTCAACTGTATTCTTTCTTGTTTGCTCATGAAGACACCCCTAGATAAGCAGCTAACTGGCCTTTTGGCGTTTTTTCATGATGGGATCTTTTTATTGTTATGAGTTTTGTAAATAAAAATCTAGTCTGTTCCCTTCTTGAAAACGAATTTTGTATGATTATTATGACTATTAAGATGATTATTATTATGATTATTTTTTATCACTATATATTTATAATCAACAAAGTCCAAAATTGCTCCCATAAAAAATTTCAAAAAATAAGAAAAGCTCACAAAAATTCAAGCAATACTTTTCTCTATTTAGTCCGAAGGCAAAGAAGTTGAAAATTTTCATTAAACAACATTTTTTTAATACAGTGAAATAACTTTTTCACATAAAATTTTTTTAGAGAGAGTATCAAATCAAAAAGAAAGGCGGCTTTCAGTCAAATTAAAACAATTATCATATTACCAATTATCATATTTTTAGACTCCGATAAATGTTTTTCGAAATGATTTTTGAGCCCATTTACTATCAAAGTTTTTAAATGAATATTTCAATCCTCTCTTGATAATAAAAATTCAAAAACAGTCTCTGCTCAAAATTTTGAAATCGCATAATTCGGGGAAGGGTTTTAAATGCTTCCAGCCTCTGTTTGAAAACAAAACATAACATCATATTTTAAAGTAGTCGCAATTAATTCAAGATTCCAGCATTCTTGAAAATTCTAGAAAGTACTTTTAAGCTCAAATAATTCAAAACGATCAAAAAAGGTCTAATTATTAATGCCGAAACTCATTCAGAAAAAAAACACCAATCAAGTTTTAATTTCAGTTTAGATGAGATAATGATTTATATCAATTAAGGTCACAAAAATATTTAACTAAATGATCCAATTCCTCTAGTTTTTCGAAAAAAATGTGTACTTTTGAAATCTAAATTTACCTGGTGTAGCTGCCTTGAAGACTCAATCAAAGATAAACCGCAATGTTAATTAAGAGTCTTTGTAAGTGGTTATTAAGTCGATGATAACAATGAAAAAATGGATGTATTCTTCTTTCCAATTGATCAATTCTGACAAGATAATCCTTGAAAATAAAGGCAATGAGAAGATTTTTTTGAGTTCGGTTATGAGAATTGATCCCTTAGCATACTTCAGAGATGTCGCCTTTGTCCAGTTGTACTTGTTAAAAAGGTAGATTAACCGACCCCTCCCAATTCTCTTTGTTGTGATATATCACGCTATTCCAACACCTGTTGTTTTTCTCAAACGACTTTTCTCCAACGAAATCCCGATTTTTTTGCCAAAATATCAAAGAATGGTTTATTGAGTGTCGGTATGTTTATAGACGTCTCAACTCCGCCTAAATTAATTTTTTTGCTTTTTTATGATTTCTGCCATAATCGCTGAGTGAATACCTGGCTGAATAGTTGTTCATAAATAATTTTTGATGCGCCAAATAAAATTGAAAATGTACAAGTAAAACAGCAAAACAACTGAATTATTGAATAACTTCAAAACTGACCATTCGAAAACGATTATTAGTAGTATTATAGTCCAGATTCAATTAAAGCTGAAAAGAACTTTTCTATCTGATAGGCTAATCAAAATTCTTATGTTAATCTGATCTTGAGCAAATAATTGAATCAATGTAACCAAAGTTGTAACAATTTAAATTCATTCGCGTGAAAAATGTACAAAAATTAGAATTTTTACACTTAAGAAATTATTTTACGAGCAATTAATTTTTTAAAAAAAGACTATACAAACTGTTTTTTTGATTAAAATTTGCAAGAGGGTATTGTTTTATCTTGAAAATGAAATATAATCAACAAAAAATAAAGCAGATGTAAAGCGGTGGAGTAATTTAATGCAGTGAATTTGTGTCTTTCATTTAAAATGCACCGCAGATGCTTTTTCGTCGAGACCCCGGCTCTCACCTATTATCTGAACTTATAGCTATGAATTTTTATGGCGCCACGTGAAAATGTTCTTCATCAGTAAAATTATAAAATTTTCCTTCAAGAATCTACTCTTAGTCTTATTTCAGCAAGAGTGAATAAAAAAAACAATCAGAAAACAAATCAAATCTTTTTGTTAGCTCGTTTGCCTGACTTTTTCAGTTTATTAAAAAACTGAAGAGCAGCTAATATCGCATTTTGAAAAAGTAACGCGGAATAGGCATCTGTTTTTTATTGAATAATTAAAACAGAAAATATAGATAGTTTTCGTGCAGAAAATGTAGTATGGCTAGGCAGGTGTTTTTTCTCTGCCGTCTAAAGATGATCAATCTTGAAATCCATGAAGCATCTAGGGAAAAAAGCTGCAAACAATTATTCGCTCTAACGCTTTAACGCTCTAACGCTAATATAATTGAACTTGATCGACAAGAAAAAAAAAACAATTACCAAAAGATGAATTTAAGTGAACGCGTTGTCAAGGGAATTTTTTTCTTCAAGTAAAATCTTCGTTTATAAGTAAAAGTTGAATAATTGAAAACAAAAAAATGAAAACATTGTTTATTAATGCAGTGTCAAAAGTCTTATAGTCTGACATGAACAACGAAGCGTGCATTATTTTCCAATTTATAGTAGAAAATATGTCACCAAACTAACGAGCCTAGGGGTGTAGCTTCAAGACTTTCCGCCGTTTCAGGACGGTTACATTTGCAAATTGAGCACTGTTTGATGATTATTTTGAGTTGTCTCTTGAAAAAAACATGTTATTAGTCCGAATTTCAAAGGATCGGAACACTCCTTGCTAAAAAAAAAAACTCCTTGGTATCAAAGTATTTTTTCTTTCTCCAGCAAACTGCGTGCCGCAAAAAAAAAGCAACCGGATTTGGGTTAGTCATCCCCACCTCACACAAGCATCAATTTTATGGTCTAAGGGGTGGTTTTTCAAGGTTGTTTATGAAGATCAAATATGTTTGCCATGGTCTAATTAGTCTGCATGTCAATTTTCATGACAATTGGACAATGTGAACAGTAATTTGAATTATAAAAGATTGCAGGTGGGGGGTAGAAGGAAAAAGAGCCGCGAACTCAGTTGAGATGTTTTCTCGTAGGCGGAGATCAACTTTCCATTAAACTGACAATCAAGTATGTTTCAAGTTACCCCGAGCCATACCTGGCATGTCATCTTACCCAATGCAGTAATTAACCAACTGCCGTTTTCGCTTTGTTTGTGACAGGATTTAACTTAATTGTCGCTCATTTTACGCAATAATCACTGATCCAGTCAAAAAGGTGTTAAAGCAAATGTTCCTGTTAACAATTTATTTTCAAAAAAGTGTCAAAATATTTAAGCTTGAAGCAGTTTTTTCTCTTTTAGGTGGCCACTTTTGGCAGAGTTTTTATAACAACTGACTGAAGGATACGGACCAAGAAAGCTTAACATCAAAAAAAGTGTTTATTTGCATTTTTTTGAAAAAAAAAATAGAACATTTTTTTTTCAAATTAGGGCCGTTTTTTGGCGTGGTTTGATAAAAGGATCCTAACGAAAAACTAGAGCTTAGGCAATTTCGACAGTTTTTGTAAAATATGCAAAATCGAAAACAATTTTTTGAAGAAAAATGACCAGAAAAAAAATCTTTGTTTTGCAGTTTTTTTTCAAATTTTTTGCAGTTTTTGAAAATTTTGAAGTTTTTGAATCCAAAAAAGCACTAGATTACTCATACTAGAAAAAAACTAGTTTTGCTCGAATAAAGCAAAACTTTTACGAATAAATTGGCTATTGTAAGCTTTTAAGCGATTTAAAAAGCGTATGCAAGCTTCCCTGGTTGAAGTCCCACCGTTAACTTTCGCTTTTTCTGTAGTATCCAATTGATCGCTATTTTCCAGCGCTGATTCAGGTAGAAATCAAAGTTTTTGGCAGAGCTAAACTTGTGATATTTCAGAGCTATTTCAGTATTGATTCCTTGGAAAATGTGCTAAAGTTAAGAAATTTTTACTCATTGTAGTAGCTTTCAAATGAGAGTTTTAGTTGAAAAGCTTTTCAACTTTATTATATCCGAGGATTGATGGTGGGGCAGAGGTAAAATGAATAACTACAAAGCTGATGGTTGCAGGATCTATCATCGGTAGCTCATTATTTTTGCATTTTGATAGGTTTTTATTGCTGTTTCATTGCTGAAAATTAGCAAAATTAGCGAAATTATCTATCGATATAATTTGCTTCTGTGGCAAGTAAAATCAATAATTCATTGATGGCGATTGCTGTTTTGCTATTTTTTTATCTCTTATTTTCAATGTGAGTTGCACCCGGGTTATTTATTCGCTCGAATTAAGACGAAAAATCAAAAATTTCTAACCAGTTTTTCTCGACACTGGGAATTTTTTTTCGAAATGTGCAAGAACAGTTTCGACCCCACTTAAGAAATTTCTGCTCATCGCTTTTACTCTCGATGTTTGCTTGAAGCATGAAAAACTTCAGAACGGAGAGAATAATCACCCAGCTCACCATCGAGCGTGTATTAAACTTCGAAAAGACGACAAAACTTATTTTACTCAGACGCTTTCTGCTGCAATTTTGACAATGCTAGGTCAATGCAAGATAGTCCATCTTAAGACACACATGAAGTAAATGTATATAGTTCAAGCTGCTCAATTCCCTAAATAACAGTTCACTTACAATCAATCACTAACAAAGGACATTCCACGAAGACTTAACGAAACATACAACCCAAATAACTTCATCGACTCTCAAATGTGAATATTGGAGCATTCTTTGATGAGCAAATTTTGGATGCCAAGATCATGAGACTTGTCAATCAACTTTTAAAAAGAACTCGACTGAATTTGGTCGTAGAGAATTCGTTTTTACATCAAAATTATTGTATAAGTAGCTTTAAAAAATTATTCGTGGTTGCACTACAGAAAACAACTTGAATCATATCGGTTTTCATCAATGCAGCAAAAAACTCAGAATAAATCATATTTCATTTTCAATCACAGTCAGAGGACAAAGTAAGAAACTTGATGAAGCAAAACCATCGTGAATAGCGTTTTTACTGACTATTTCAGGAGCAATAAACTTGTGCATTAATGCAGCAATTCAAGCAGCAGCAACAATATCAACAAAAAAAATAGCAAAAAGTTAATAGTTACAGACGGTACGATACAGGTTTTATTTGATGCCCGTACCTAGTAAATGTTCTAATTCAGATCTGAAATAATCTTTTTCAGATCTAAATTTCAAATCTGAAATGGGTTGTGCAATTTGTGGATACTTTAGGAATGTGTTATTTCAGATCTGATTTCAGATCTGAAAATTTGTTTTTCAAGTTTATTTCAGATCTCATATTCTCAATTTCAGATCCAAATTTCAGATCTTTCAAACTTTCAAATTCTTATCCAGATATAAAATAAAGAATTTCAGATCTGAGAACCTACTAATGTAAGAAAAAGAAAAAAAGAATTTCAGATCTGGCACAGAAAAACCCCTGGGAGCATTGCAACCATCAACGAAACTTGCCCAGATTTCTCTGTTGTCAGAAGTTCTGCAAATTGCGATGTTTTTGACTAGCCTAGAAACTTCAAAAAAAAACTTGACATAAATTAAAACGACTATAGAGAAGCAACAAAGCAGCAAAATGCGAAAACAAGAGACCAGAAGCATCATAAAACGATTGAAAAAAAAAACATTGAACGCATGGAAACTTCAGCTTATCAACTCTTTATTTTTCCTAGGAATACACACAGGGGCTGATCTAAGATTTTATCGAGGGAGCGGGCGGACTTTTCAAATAGCAGCACGGTTAATTAGTAATTGGAGGGCCTAACCAAACAATTCATATTGAGCGGGAAATCTTGCGGTGGCTGAGGAGGATTGAGCAAATAAAAAAAATTAGAATCAGTTTCGAAATAAATAACAAAATCAAAAAACTTAACAGTAAAGAGAGAGGCAATTGAACGTTAGTAGCATCTAAAGTACTTTTGCTTCAAACATGCCAAATTTTTTTCATGAAGCATTCTGTAGTCACCAAGCAAACTGTTCCTTTGGTTATCATTCGGGCCTTCAGACGATTGAAAAAAAATCAATCCAGGTTTTGAAATTTCACCAACTGAGGTACATTTTGAAAATAATTGAATAACAAATTTTTAAAAACTCTTTAATGGAGTCCCTATACAAAACTACCCCTTTGATTTTGCTCAAGCCTATTCGCTCAAAATTTATGAGATCGGTTTGTGCTATTTTGGAAAAACCTTAAGCTCTAAATTTTTTCGTTACTCTGATATTAATACCATGGCTTAAGTCATTTTTATGCAGTAAAGATTTCGATAAAAGTGATGAATCCTTCTTATTTGATTTGGCCGATTTTTTAAATAAAGCTCGGGTTAGAATAATCTTTTGATGATGCAAGGGGCTACGCAATCCACCATTCTGTTGTAGACTCCTCGAAAACCTCCAAAAAGGAAAACAAAAAACAAATAAATCGGTCATGGGATTGCATGGGTGCCTCAGGTGCGATAGATGTGCTCAGCCTACCATTCATAACCTCATGCAGTCTCTAAGAAAAGAATAAAGCTTGTCGGAGAATTAACTGCTCAGAGTAACTACAGGATAAAGTGCTGCCAAAATATCAAAACACGAGAAAAACCCATCCAGATTTGTTGCACTCCTTTAGCATTATACCAGCAAAGACAATCTGAGGCAATTCGAGTGCCTCTGGTTCAGTTTTGATTTTAAATTTTTTTTGCTGACTAACTTAATTCTTCAATCAAAGTTCTTTTGAACTGATCAAAGGTGTTACCGCTGCTAATTTTCGCCTGCTACGAACCTTCGCATACTGTGAACAGTAAATTATTTCAATTGTTACTGTCTGCTTTTAGGAATAAATGTTGCCATGCCCAAGAAAAGCTCTGCAACATTTTGAATAACACAAGCAAAAACGGCCAAAATTATTTGAAACGCCATTTGAAAGAGTTGGAAGAAAAACTTCATATTTGAAGTGGTGCTGCTAAATTCAACTGATCAAAGTACAGACATGAATTGAGCATTATCAATCATTATACCTCTGCTAATTCCTTGTTTGACACTGATTCATGAAAAGGTTTATTCATTCTAATAGTTTTTAATTCAGTTTTCTAATAGATTTTTCGAAAAGTTTTCTGGTTATGCTTTTATTTTTGAAAGATCCTTCTAGTTTCATAGAAACGAAAATATTAATATTTACAAAAATAAATCAATATGAACAACTGGGGGAGAACGATTGGCAATTTTTTAGGGAAATTGTCTTCGGAGCATCTGTTTTCTTTGAGAATTTTCATTCAGCCTGTCTAATTCTAAACAAAAACCAGTTCTGCTTCAATTCTCCCGTTGAACTAGCAGAGGTTCTTCCAATTTTAAAGACCGATCGTCTGGAATTGATTATATAGCACAAATATTGGCCCATATTTCTCATTTTCCAGATTGAAAAAAACTCACTTTCTTGGTCTATTGATAAGAGGTTTGGCAAAGTTAAACAAGATTTCGAAAGATTTTAAAACAAAACTAATTTTAAATTAATCCCAAAGATTTGAGAGTTCCATGTTATTAGAATGAATTCTTTGTTGCGATTACGTCTTGTAGTTTTTTCAATTGTTGTTCTGCTTCCCAATTTGGTTCACGCTGGGTCAGGAGAATTCTGCTTGTACAGTTCTGACTGCGATGACCTTGAACAATGCTGTGCATATAACGAATGTCATCTTTCATGTCCTATGTAAGTTCAATTTTTAGAAAAAAAAACCGGAAAGACAAAATTAATTAAAAAGAGCAATTGACCTAATTTGGAGGAAACTTGCATGCAAAAGCTAATTTTTGAAACAGAATTCACTCCCATGCTTCGAGCATCTCGACCAAAATTTGGTCAGTTACCTCTTTCTGGATGGAGAAAAAATACGCTCGACTTTGCTCGACCAAGCTCACACTTTGTTTCAACTTTCTCGAACGAAAATTGATTTGTTTCGCTGTTCTCGATTTTCTTGTCCCAAACAAAATGTGAATAAACTAAGTCGACCAGGCTAAGACACGTTTCAACTTATTCGATCTAAAATTGGGATGTTTTGGCGCTCTTGACTTTGACGATCGTAAATATTCTCATTATTTTTGTTCTATATCAGTGGCATCCGCAGAAACTTTTCGAGAGGGTTGCTTTTTTTTTGTCGTCGACCTTTATTTTTAGGTCGGCCAAATTGTTTTTTGAACTCTTCTGAAACACTGCAAGGAGGTTTTTGTAATTTTTTCTCCGCGTGGCAGGCAAATAATTGAAAAAAGCGTAAATTAAAACTTTTGGATTTTTTTTGAAAAAATGTGATAAAACCTCACGCTTTTTGGCTTGCTATCCAAAAACTAGCAATCTTTGCTGCCAAAACTGTCACAAGTATTATGCACTCCTTGTCACGTTATTGTCTGACTAATTTCCATCTGCTAGTCTATAAATTGAGTGTGCCTCGACCTATAAACAATTGTAATATCTTAAAACTACAAAAAGCTGTCATTCAAAAAATATCTCAATTTTAAATTATGGAATGTAATACCGATGTCAAAAGGCAAATATCTAAACGTTAATTGTTTTCTCCATTTGTGACTCATCTGAACACCAAGTGTTACCACGAAAAAAAAACTTTTCATTAAGATCTTTTCATATAAATTGGTCGGTAAAAAAAAAACTTCGAAAAAAATATCATTATAACCCGATCTGCCGATAAATTGGTGAAAAAATATATTGAAAAATTTTCATCATGATTAGTAATTTAGCCAAAAAAAAACGTTTTAAAATGAAATCGATAGAAAACTGCCAAACTGATTCACCAAGTTTTCACATAGCCCACATCTATTAAAACCTTTCATTGCATAGCAAATAAATGGAAAAAAAAAGAAAATTGAGAGATGATCATCGATTGTATTTGCATCAAAAACAGATGGATTAATAATCCATTTTAAAAGATTGAAATTGACTTAGTTTGAAAGAAATTTGCAAGCAAGAGCTAAATTTTCAGACAAAAATCACGTCCTCGGCCGAGATGCTTGATTTATTTTTCGACCAGTTCGACAAAATTTGGTAGGTTGCGACTACTTGGAAGGGGGAAAGTTCGGTTGACTTTTCTCGACCACGCTCACATTTGTTTCAGTTTTCTCGACCACAATTTTTTTTCGTTCGTTGTTCTCTACTTTCTCAAAGCAAACAAAAAATCAAAAATCAAAAACCTAAGTCTTCCAAGCTAAGACACGTTTTGAATTCCGCAATCAAAAATGCAATGTCCTGACTTTCTTGACTCTGAAGGTCCTCAGTATTTTAAATATTTTTGCTCGTAATCAGTGGCATCCGCAAAAACTTTTTGAGAGGGTTGTTTTTTTCGTCGACCTTTTCTTCAGGTTAACAAAAAATTTCTCCGAGCACTCGTAAAACACTGGAATAGCCAGTGATTTTGGAGTAACCTTCTTTTTTATTTTTTGCAGCGCTAAGCAAATCATTGAAAAAAAACAAGCCTAAAAGAGAGTTTTAGGATTTGTTGGAAAGCTGTGATCAAAAAATCACGCTGTTCGGCATGCTTCCAAAATTTCAGCCAATTTTTTCTTCAAAAGCAACTTGAAAACTTTGCACGCCTTTTCATGTTAATGCTCGACATGTTTTCGTTTGCTAGTTCTAAAATGAAGTGTGCTTTGACCTATTTATCGACTGTTCTCGACTTATATTTCGACTTTCTCGACCACAATTGTACATGTCTCAAATTCAAACGCTCAACTTAAAGCTCCTTCTCTAGCGCTACTTTTCAGTCGCAAAACTGCAGAATTTCAAATATCTTTAAACAGATTTTAATCATTTATAACTTACTTTTTCACCGGAAAATTGTCACACCAAAATATATCTAATTTTTATCTCATGGATAAAAAGATCGTTTTTATTAGCCAAATCTCTAAAAGTGCACTGTTTTTTTTTGGCTCTTTTGTTTACCAAAGTTTTTAACAAATCAAAAGTGTCTGGGAAAATTTTTCATCTGATTTAAAAGATTTCCTTGGCAGGTGGATAACACTTCGGCCAAAATAATCATCAATCTAGAACAATCTAACGAAATTTTGGTGAAAAAAAATTCTCCATCTTCAGGACCTTAATCGAGAAAAAGTGAAAAAAAAACGTTAGAAAATAAGTTTGATTTGAATACTGCCAAAACGATTTTGAAAGTTATCACGAAATCTCAAGTCTGTGAGAGCCTTAAAAAAGCAACTCATATGCAGGTTCGAAAATAAAATAGGCATTTAGAAGGAATTATAATATCTGATAATCGATTAAATTGGATTTTATTGCATAGCAAATAATTTAGATAAACGAACAAGGATAGCAGTTTACTGTGCAAGTAGCACAGAATGTTCCGACCAGAGTCTTCAAAAACCTACCAAACAATCTCTTTTTTAAATTAGTGTAATTTTTTCTGCGTGGTGCAGTGGTGTGATAAAAGGATCTGACATAAAGCTATAATTAAGAATATTTGACAGTCATAGTAATATATGCAAACCGAACAACAATTTTTTGAAGAAAAAGACTAGGAAAACAAAAAAATCAAATTTTTTTGCGGATTTTTTTTGAAGTTTTGATGTTTCTGGTTACCAAAATGGTATTAAAGATCTTCAAAAACTAAGTTTAATTGAGTAAATTTAAAACTAAGGATAATTAAGCTATTATAAACTGCTAAAACTAAACATAAATAAGTCTGCTCGCTTCTCTGGCTTTCCTCGCTTAAAATTAGACGATAAATCAAAATTTTCAAACCGTTGTTTCTCGACACTAGAAAAAAGAATTCTCCAAAAAAAAATTCAATATGATAAATCACTCAAAGCAGTCCGATGATTATTTGTTTTACCTGATTTTGCGTGGAAAACAAAAAACTAAAACAAACCCGAATACAAAGCCCCCCCCCCATTTTTAATGGTCAGATCAAAAAATACTAATAAAAGACAATAAATTGTAATTTTATCACAAACAGATGGTTTTCTAATAGATGATTTTGATGTTCAATAAGTGATTTTAATTTTCTTTGAAAAAGAAAGAATATAATCGATTATAAATTGATTGTATTCGTTTTTTTTCATTTTTAGATAGATGGTACTTTAATCAGAGTAAAATCGATTATGAACACTTAAAATGTATGCGGGAATCTTATTGTGTCTTTTTTATTCTGTCTGTCCTAATTTTTGGCAGCTCTCTAAAATATGGTTCAAAAAGTTGAAATCGACGAAACTATAGTTGAAATGATGAATATGCCCATTTTGAATCGTTTTTTTTGCAAGGACTTTGAAAACTAACATTTGTACGCAGATCTGAAAGTAGTTATATGTTGTTTTTCATTATTTCTTTCTGTTAAAACTTTTGCAAACCTCTATGTATTTTCGAGTATGCAAATCTGAACGAAGTTAATAAGCCTCAAACTGCTCCATTTGACGTTGGAATCAGTTTTTTGTTCATTTCAGCCTGCACAATCTGAGTTAGAAAATTGAATTAACCTTAAAAAAGGCGAAGTTTTTGTTGGTAGAACTAAATTTTCACAAATAAGTTTTGTTAAAACTGTTATTTTTTCTTTCAGACGTGGATGTTTTCTTGACTGGCACTGCCACGAAGAACAAGTTTGCTGCGAAGACAACGAATGCCACGATTTCTGCCCCTCGTAAGTAGAATTGACAAGGTCTTCCTTTTTTTTAAAAAAAAATTGAAGGTGTGCAAAATTAAATATATTACACGTGCATTGTTTGAACAACACGTTTAATTAGAAAAATGATGCGTTAACTGTTAAGTTAAATTGGACGGAATAAGTAGAATTAACCCCTCTTTTATGCTTCCAGGGCTATCCGGTTCCTGATTGGACTGGGTTTGACATGTTTCTGCTGCTTCTCTGTGTTCTTGGTCTGCGTAGTCTTCTGTCTAACACGAAGTAGTGAGTGCTCAAGTTTTACATGTTTACAAATTGTTTGGAGACCATTTGTATCAGTCGACAACTCATAACTGAAGTATTTCTCATTTTCCCGTTCTGAAGTTCTTCAAAAAAACCATGTCTGAACACCTTTGAATCGGGCTTTTTTCAGGCCTGTTCCACATCTGTGGCATGTCTATTTTACGCATGGGCACAACTGCCTCAGACCCGCGCAGGTCTGATTTTCTTGTCAGCGTTCAGGTCTGATCAGGCCTGGATCAGTCATGACCAGACCTGGCAGACACATGACTAGATTGAGCAGACACATGACCAGATCTGGCAGACACATGACTAGATTGAGCAGACACAGGACCAGATCTGGCATACACGTTACCAGATCTGACAAATGCGACATCAGATGGGGGGTTGGCAAAATGGGAATCACTACTGAATCACTATTGAAAAGGCGAATCACTACTGAAAGGGCTTTAATATGATATATAACTCAACCCAGTCCGATCATCATTTTTGGTACCTGATTTTGCGTGGAAAACAAAAATAAGAAATAAACTAAAACACCCGAATACAAAGTCCCCCCATTTTCAATGGTTGGAACAATAATGACAAGACCATCACGAAGTAAGCAAAAGAGCATGCTTGGCCACATGTTATTCAGCTGAGTTTTGGCTGGTTTCTGTTTTATTAAAATCTTTTCTCGAGTAGAAAAAAATTTTCAGCGTTGAAAGAAGAATTCAGTCGGTCAAGTAATTTTGTATCATGCGGATTTCGGCATAATTTTGTTCGAAGACCCATGTTTAATCAATACACGTGGAATGGTTAAAATTAGCATCCTGTTATTTTGCACAAAAATTAAAGTGGTCTCTAAAATAACCAACTGCGATTTATTTTTCTTGACTAGCAACTCTGTAAGTATTTTTTCCAAATTAGCTTTCTTGACGAATACCTTTGGTCTTTTCGAATTGATTGATTTGGGTATATTTGTTGGTTGCGGTCGGAACAATAAGGTTTTAGAGGGACTCTATAAAATTATTGCTTAAGTCAAGGACCTCGAATCTGTCGAGGAGCTGTATCGTAAGAGAACCTCAGACTCCAAGCATTCTTTAGAAAATCAAAAACGGGCAAGCAAAAAATACGCTACGTCATAGTTTTTTCATACTCTTCCGAGAGCAGTTGGAACAAAATATCAAAGGAGTGATAACTAGATCCGATAAACTTCGTTATTTTACTTCAGACAAAAATAATTCCGCTCAGCAAGCTCAACCGATTCCTCCTGTGATGTTCAGTCGTCCATACAACTTTTATGCGACAGGAAATAATACAGATCTACCGCCATACGAGCCAAACATGGGCACCAATTTACCCTCAACTGGAACCACAGGGTACCCGAAAATGCCTCTACCGCCTTATCAACCCCCCTCCCAACCTCCACCAAATATTGAAGGAAGCTCGGAGACGGGCGTCGAACAGAACGTGAATCAAGCGCAAACGCAAGATGGCAATCACGCAAATGCGTTTACAGCAGCAGCTGCTCAGCCAACCAATAATGGCCAATCAAGTAGCAGTGTTGATGACAACATTCGATTTGTAGCGCCAGGAAACTTGCAATTTGACAAAAAAAAATAGCAACAAAGTAGCAAAAAATTTCCATTAATTATTCAGTGCAACTGTTGAGAAATAAGTAAACTATCGTAGTAGTTCAAAACAATATACTTCTAACTTGAAGCTAGCAATGCAACTTGACGAAACTATTATTTTTCTCTAAAAAACAAGATATACATGTCCAAGATGAATTTCAGGGTGTCGCATGATCCAATATTGGGTTTTTTCAGCTTTATTATTTATAAATGATCTACCAGAAACAGTTGCAGATAACAAAATGTATCTTTTTGAAAATTATACAACAATTATGACATCAAGCAAAAAATAATTATGATTTTGTAAAAAAAGACATTTCAAAAAATGAAAATTAGTGTTGGATATCAATGACTCTTAAATACAAAAACGGACATTGATAGCATTCTTTGTAGAAAGTTTGAACAACCGTAGATTTCTGCACTAATGATTGTTTTGGTTCTGTTATTGAACTTAAAGTTCACACTGACGATTTGTGTAAAAAAGCTTGACCGGTTCAACTGTTTATTAGTATCATATATTTGGACTTTTGAAAATTTTGCTTCTAAAGAGCTGACGCAGCGCCTTTTGAACTTACTCAGTACAAGAACAAACATCACGCAATTTTTTTTCATTTAACAAATAAGAAATTTGTCTACTCAAGCGGCACACTCTCCGATAGTTCTTAATGCCAGAAGCAGTTTTCATTCAAATTCACCAAAAGTTTGCAAAGAAAAGAGTTTTGTTTCTGTTTTTCTAAATGTTACTCATGAAGCTCGTATTTAATCTTTTTTCAAATTAATTTTTTTTGGCTCTTATTAAAAGCAAGATTGCCTAATTTTTGTCCAAGTGGTTGTATAATTGAATGATATCATCTATTTAGATTTATCTTTTCTGAAAAATGAGCTTTTCTACACTCCAAAACTTGGTTTATTAAGGTTGAGACAAATCAGTTTGATCATATCGTGGTCCTCACACGTTTATATTTTTTTATTAACAAAATTTGTTTTATAAGTTATTTTCATAAAACTCTCAAGCACTTGCAAGATTGGTTGACCTTTTTGCATGCCTTCTCTATTTTTTCCAAATAAAAATGTTATTTGAAATTCTGAATTTACCTAATGTTAGCATGTTTCGATTATTTTAGTCATTTTTATATACAGCGGGTTTAATTTCAGCATTTAAACCCAACAAAAGATCGGGGGAACTTTTAAAGTGGCTGTACAGTAGATTAGATTGAGCCATTCAAAAAGTCTAAGACTTTTGACTTTCATCCCTCTTTCAACCAATTTTCTAAAAATTATATTATGATTGGCTGACATTTTGTGGGCCCTCGGCCTGGGGGATTTACTCAAGCTTGAGACTTTCACAATTTTTCTTCTTTATCATTTTCCTGTTTATGCTAACGCAGTGGGCTTGAAGTCAGCATCTCAATTTAATAAAAAAGAGACCAACTTTTAGTTTATAGTGTAGAGGTTTAGCTTGAAATTTTTCAAAAAAAATGACTGATAATAACCCTTCTTTTTTCTTTCAGATTTCCGAATACTAAATTACGATTGGCTGAGAATATTCAATATCTTGGTCCTTCTGGTCTGAGGGTTTCACTATGAATGGTTGCCTATTATAAAATAGACAAAATGAAAAAAATAGAAATGAAAAACAAGGATAGCCGATTACTGTGCAAGTAGCACAGAATTTTCCGACCAGTCTTGGAAATATATAACAAAAAATTAATTCAACATAGCGTCTTTTTTCGACCTAGTGTGACAAAAGGAGCTGAGCGAAAAACTAGACATTAGGCAAATTTGACAGTCATAGTAAAATAAGCGAAATAAGCCAATTGAAAAATAACTTTGGTAGAAAAAATGACTGTAAAAACGCATAATAAAGAAATTTGTAGGCATAATTAAGCTGTTGTAAGCCTTCTCGCTCGCTATATTCGATAAAAATTGAAGTAAAAATCAAAAGTTTTAACCCGCTTTTATTCGACAATGAAAAAAAATCGAAATTTTTTTTATATCATTCGAATCACGACTGAAAGTGCTTTAATATGCAATATCACTCAACTCTCTCCGATGATTATCTAGGGTAGCTGATTTTGCGTGAAACAAAAAAAACTGAAAAAACTAAAACAAACCAGAATACAAAATGAATCCCCATTTTCAAATGATCGAAACAAAAATTTTACTTTTCTTTCAAATAACTGTAATTTATTAACTTTTTTCTTGCACTCAAGGTGTCTATTTAGGGACTTTTTTGGAGTATTGCTCAATTCTACCTTTCTGGGAAATTTAGGTTCAATGATGCTTTTTTAAAAACGCCAGGCTAAAAAATGTATTACATCATTGCTGCCACCTCCACCGCGTAAAACAATAAACACTCAGTACGAAAACAAAAACGGCGTTTATCAAAATTTCTCTGATGTTCAAATTAAAAATCTTTGGTAATTGATTTAAGTTTCAAGTTGACAAAAGTTCTAACTTTTATGTAATTTTGAATTGCTGTAGCGCAGAAATTGCTTTATTGTTCCGACTTTTGAAGAAAGTGGGGAAAATTTATGCTTGTTGTGGTTTTTTTATTCAGTCATTCTTCGACTTGTTAACCAAGCATTTTTCAACAAAAATTTTTCTAACCATTTTAAAGATATTGTCGTCTTGATCTCAAACTTAAAAGGACATTTCACCTGCAATAGTTTTTATAAAATTACGGGGGTTTCAAAATTGCTAATTAAAGGCCAATTAGGGATAATTAAAGTGCGATATGTTGCTGATTTATAACACGCGTAAAAAGCAAATTAATGCGTTTCAAATTGATTTTAGGCCAGCAATTTAGTCATATTATCACAATACGAGACACATATTAAACACACCCTTAATATTTTACATAGCGTGAGGGGGAATAATGAAGAAAAAAATTTTCTCAAGTATTTTTCTCAAATTTTTAACCAAAAAGAAACGTTTGAATAGGCTTTAAGTGCAATCGAAACATTAAAAAAATTTTAACCTGACATACGAGCAGTTTTATAAGTATTGATAATCAGTGCAATCAAATATAAATTTGTTTAAAAAAACAAGTTGTTTTCAAATTTTTTTCTTAACCAAGATTTGTCTGAGAGTTTTCAAATACAGATTGAAATTCACTTATGTTAGCCTCAAAGAATAGCTAAATGCAAAATTCTAAGGTGAAACAAATGGCAAAGGGACTTAGCTTGGAACACTTTCGCCAGTCGCTAATTTCCTCTAAACATCGAAAACATCGAGATTAGTTTCCTCGAACCTGAAGAATTTCAAAAACATTTTTGAAAAACTTATTCGTGAAATTTCGCTTGAGGTATAAATAAAAAACCACTATTAGCTCATTAATCTTTTGTTTTGAGCAAAGTTATGGTCAATTGAAAATTAGCACTAATTTTATAATTGTTAATTATGCATACCTATTCGGGGCTTATCAAAAAAAACAATGGGAACAAATGGCATTGTAGTAAGGCGTTCGCTTTGAGATACTAAGATTGAGTATTTCTTCTATTTCAATTTAAGGATAAAGTTTGGAATAAGGCAAGGAGGCGCTCAAACTTTACTTTTATTTTCAGGTTTCGAACAGCCTGGCCAATCTTGGCGACAACCATGAAACCACATGAAAACTCTGGCCCCAAAAAACGGCCTCCAGTTGCCAAAAGATTATTTTCCACCAAAATAACTCAGCTTTGACTATGGGATAACGTAGGAGATGGATCATCTTTGGCCAGGCCTTGCAGCTTTTGAGTTTTTTTGATAGATATTCTCTGATTTGCAGGGACTAAATTCTACTATAAAAACGTACTCACTCTACTCAACGACCCCAGAGTTACTCCCCTTTATACCGTGATATAGAGGGGAAAACTAAAACACGATAATATCAACAATCTTGCGTTGTGCTCTTGCGGCTCTTCTTTTGCGTTTCTAGCTGGTTCAGCGGACTGTATACACAATATGTAAATTCTTTTTCAATTTCAGATGAAACAAAAGTAAGTTACAACGTACTACTATTAAACTACTTATATAACGAAGCCCGCGTTGCGTTCTGTTCAGTCACTGCTTCGTTATCTAAAACCCATAGAGACCAACTGCAACAAGTCAATCTGCTCATGCAACTAAATCAACCCGACATTAATCTACGGTTCAAATCAACTAAACTACTATTACCTTCGGAACTATTCAAATCGCAAGTACCCGTAATCTGCCCTCGGTTCAGTTCAATTCAACTAACTTACTAAATCAGTTAATGAGACACAGAGTCACTTAGCTAAGATTTTTTTCTCCAATCTTTCCAAATTCTGTTTACCCTCTGAAGGTTCTCACCACTCCCTCTAAAGTTGCGCTTACTTTGCAATTTCTCTTCTCTTTCTAGTTGCTTATTAATAATTGAACGAAGTTCTAAATGAATTGTTCTTCTGACGATACTACTACTAAGTTTCAAGTTCATTTTGGGTGTTTTTAACTGAGTCGTGCAAATATCAAGTCCAATTTTATGGAATCTCACATCATGTTAAGCATCTAAAGTTTCCATCTATATGTAATTCGCCTTTTATGGGTCTAATTAGACCATAAAAGTTAGCTTCAACGAGCTAACTGACTATCCTGTCCATTCATCTTTTTTGAGAGGCTTACTTTTTGTACAGCACTCATTTCACTGCCATTTTCCACGGGGACTAATTTTTTGGTCTAATTGAGTTGCTTTTAATAGCCTTACTATCATAGCTAAGTTAAGCCGAATGTTTGCTTAGTTTCACGTTTTTTCAACCCACTAATTCAATGTTGCAATTTAGAAACTATATCACCTTGGCTTCTGCGTTCTTCCCCAATGAATAAGTTTACTCCCAATTATTTGTCATCTAACCGCTTCACATTTCCAATTGTTGGGCAGGGGAATACCCTTTTTCGGTTTTAATCCCGGGGTTTTCAACGCTATTTTGATCGTAAAAGCCCAACGGTCAAATAAAAGTTCTTTCGAGGGTCTAAGGTTCTAAATTTCCCTTAGCGATGTCTACATCATAGTTTTTGTCCAAATCCATCCGGCAGAGACTAAGTTCCAATAGGGCGGATGATGTTCCAATAGGGCTTAACATGATGTTCCAATAGGTTCGGACTTTCGCATGCCGGGTTCAAATCGACTCTATTATCAGTCCAGTGAATTTCATAATTTTAGCTTCCTGATCTCCCTGAGTCCGCCGATTTTACTGCACACTTGATTTTTCAGCCATAGGAGAGAATAATTCTTTAAAGGTTCAAACTATTTTGTTACCAAGTTTAATAACCCCATATGTGCCAAAAAATGGGAGGGGGCATGGGTAAGCTGGGTTAGCTTGGGTTCATTTTTTCGTGTGAAGATACTTGAGTTTCCAAGTAATTTTTACTTGAATATGCAAGTAAAAACACGCGAGCAACGACTAGAGAAAGGGTACTTATATTTTTCAAATATTTTTTAGAAGAAAAACCAAATACATACGTGAGCATAATGAATAAAGGAATGCTCTCGTTGTTATACTTGAATGGAAACACATGAAAATTCAAGTATTTCGATTGAAATTCAAGTTGCTCTAGTGGTCCTTTTTCGCAAGATTTTGTCAAGTAAAAACACGTGATTTTATAAAGTGATAACGAGTGAACATTTTAAGAGTGTAGTTGAACTGTTTGGTTGGATTATTTGGCCTAGCGTCAATTCGTCGCGTTTCTGGCTGCCGGTTTTAAATATAGTACCAAATGTCGCCGGCTTCGAGTTGTCGACTCACGGGGCTGTTTTATTGTATCATCCTCCTCCTTCACCTGATGTTGCTCTGATAATGTTGCGTTGTCTATAAGTGGCAGTTTGTCAATTCTCCTCGCATATCATGGCAGAAATGTCTGACTGTGGCAGTTCCTTCAATCAATGTTGAATCAATGTTAGTGAATCACGGACGATATAATTTCAGTCTAAATTCGTTCTCTGTCTAATTCTCAGAGTCTTATTTTTAGCAGTGGCTCGAAATTTGATCTGCTTTGACGACCAACAACTAGATATGTAATCGAGTGTCAAGCGCACAGTAAAAATCATAATTTTTTGTTTTTTTTTACGACTGCAAAATTTTGCTGGCCAACTCTAAAACTATTCTATGAACACCTTTTGGAATTCACTGTATTTTTTTTGGGGGGGTCGCAAAATACAAATTTTTGCAAAGATAGAAACAACTGAATCGTGCGCACCAGAAATCGGCATTTTTAGACCCAAACCTTCCAACGAATTGGCCAAATTTTTCAAGCATTTACCGGAGGCGCAGTGCAGAAGATTTCAGCAAAATAGAGTCTAAAGTGTATTTGAAGAGAGTTCAACATTTTTTTGTCAAATTGTCAGATCCACACCTGATAAGCCCAGTATTCTTTCAACCTTCGCAATTCATTTAACCTATCCTTCATTTTATTCTGTACCGGAATTTGAGACATTTTTATGATTTGTTCTTACAACCATCAACCCCAGTTTCGTTTATCAACTTATTACGAGCATTTCAAAACAAAAATTCCACAACTCTTACAAGCACTTCGAGCAAGATCATAGCCTAACTAAATTATAAATTATCAAAGTGACAAAATTTGGTATGCATGACTAGCTTTACTGACGCCCAATCTTCCAGACAACCAAGTTAAGTTCTAGGACCCCACTTTTTGATTTGAAAAAAAAATGCATACAGCTGTCTGAAAAACGTTCGGATCTCATTGGTTTAAATTTAAACTTAAAGCCAAGTTATTCTATTCATTCAAACACCGCTTTAACCAAGACGGCGATGTTAACTTTATCATACTCTAAACTTAATCGAAAAACTTTCACCAGCCCTTTTTGTAGAAAGAATTGTTTACAAGTAGTTTTAAAACTCCTCATGTTATTATAATATGAAAACTGTAACAATTTTTCCCACAAGGGGATGTTGTCCTGCTGTGGTAATGATACCATCTATCTGAGGATATCATTAGTGATACCATGTAGTTGCCTTGCCAGTCAAGGTCTGCTTAAGTCAAGGTCTGCTTATGTTAAGGTCTGCTCTTTATCCTGCTAAGATCTATGTATTCATTGCACACTCTTAGACAAAATTCATTCGTCAATTGGTGATTTCAATCTTACGATCGCGGGAGAGTTCTGTCATACCCTATGATCTGACTGAAATGGGTTACTTCACAAATTTTGGAATATGTCAGATATGATATATTTGGTTTCATCGCAATAATTGGGATCATAAAATTAACGTTATTTCTTGTAATTTTTTTAAACGTCGAATGCGATTATCGTTGAGAGTTTTTCGAATACTGATTTGCTCAACTTACATAACACTTATTTCCGAGCAAACACTGAATCGACGTGGCTAAAGTTTTGTGATTTTACTCGAGTAAGTTAACTAGTGTTACAGCTCTCAAGCAAATGCTGAGAAATACATTCTTGGGTTATTTTTTTACTAAGATAAATTCCAAGTTTGAAACGGTTTTTGCGGCTTATTCAACTCTGCGGCTTTATGTATAAGCAACTGCAAATTTGTTACCTTTAGAACGAGCGCATATCGGTAGCAAGTTAGGACCGCCCGGAAATTTTTCAAAACGAAATTCCGCACTCTTAATTATGAATGATTATTAAGTTTTAGATTGCAAATTAACTCGGTTTTGTTAATAGATTTTATATATGTCAATCAGTAGTTGAAATTGCAAGAATTATTTTTAGGGCTCATTTTTGTAAACTAGAACATTTTTTTCAAATTTCCTGTAACAACAGTTTAGATTCGTCAAAATGCAGTCAAAACTCTGAGCAGTTTGTGCAGATACAATCGGTTCTTTTTTCATCTCGAAGATGCAAAACATTTTAAACAGAACTCTCAGCCGGCAAGCAAACAATTCGGCCACAGACAATTCAGCCAATTTGAAATTCAGAAAATTCAGCCAAAAATATACAGACAATTCAGCCTGAGACACTTCAGCCAGTTTTACAAAACGCTAGATTCGAAAGAATAAATCGGAATGGGAGTTATTTCTCGGTTTAGGGTCGCCGGTGGGCGCGCTACGCGCGCGTCGCCGCTAAGCGGCGATAACCGGTTCTAAATTTTGTATAGAGTCCTACCCTCTGTTGGCAAGCTCGCAAGACGTTGGCGCGACTGCGGCGGTCACTATTATTGGCTGAGTTGTCTCTGGCTAAATTGTCTGCACACTTTTGGCTGAATTGTCTGAATTTCAAATCGGTTGAATTGTCTTTGGCCGAATTGTCTGGACGCGTCTCAGCCACATGGGTGCATGCAACTTTTATATATTTTTTGCAGGAGACTCATTTTAAGGTAGAAAATTGTTCCATTATCAACGTTTTAGAGCAGAACCTAGCAGTTTTCTCCAAATCAGCTCGTTTATTCTATTTTGTTGAAAAAAAAACACTTTCAGCCAATAAACCAGTTTTTCGGCACAAGTAATTTAACTCAACGCGCGCTGAAAACATTATCTTTAGCCAAATGTTTCAAAATGTGTACAAGATAACACTTTCTGTGTGCTGTCAAAATTAGTTTTCTCAAATTCGGTTTTCATTAGGGTATTACAGGTGTTTTGGGAATGATTTGGAATGAATTACTACTAAGATATTTGAAATAACCGAATTTGAGAAAACTAATTTTGAGAGCACACAAAAAGTGCTTTCTCGTACCATTTTAAAAATTTGGTCAAAACTAATGTTTACAGCGCGCGTTTCCTGCTTTGAGTTCATTTACTTATGCCGAATAATTGCAGGAGTAAATTAAGTTCATAAGTTCAACATCAAAAAAACAAGTTAGGCTATGAAAACACGACCCTGCAATCATTAGTAACGAAAAAAAATGACGAAGTATCGCATTATTTTATTTGTTATTATGGTTGTATTTGGTAGTTTCAATTTGAATAAATTACATTTAGGGTATAAAACTTTATCCAAAATCAACGAATACAAAACTCGATATATTTGGAATCGAAAACTTTCAGCCCTCAACGAATGTCTGAACAGAAATCTAGTTCATGACTTGCGAACTCATCCAGATGCGCCAGTGAATAAAATGCTCAATGAAACCGAAATAATTGTTCACAACTTGACAAGCTTTAAAGGTTGTGTAAATTTGTACCGATTAAGTCAGAAATATTCACAACTTCTTTTAGAAAAATGAAAATTACTTTGATTATGTTTTTTTTTTGGGCTTAGAAAAAGGACCACAGACAAATCGGTATAGAAAAAATCGGGCAACAGAAAAATAAGAAACAAAAATTTTCATTGGCAAAATAAAAAACGTTTGCTTTTTTGCGCTTACATCTGCCAAAAGCACAAGAATCAGCGTTTGCTTTTTACTTGAAAAAAATATTATCTTTTTCAGATTTTTTTTCAATTTCAATTACTTGCCATCCCTTATTTCGGTCGTCTCTTAGTATTGACCAAAACAATTTTTGAAGCTGTTGTCCTTAAACTCTAATCATAGATATAAAGTTTACACACTTTTTAAGGCTGTCGACCCGAGCTGCCGAGATATCGTATTCTCTTCATTTTCAGTCGACTGCAGAGTGTGGAACTTCGCTCTGTTATTCGAAAGACTTATGCTAATATCAGCGCGTATTCTGAAGGAAAGGATCACCTTAAAGTGATTCAGAGGGGGGGCACTATTCTCGTTCAAGACAAAAATACCCCTCCCCCTCCCCCTCCAAGTTTCTTTAATTAAGCCTCAAACTGGCTCTTTTTTTTTAAATTTTTGTCAAAATTTCAAAAATTCGAGGCCAAATGCGTTTTAATGGTCATTTAATTCGCATTTTGGTAATAATAATTAAAATCAGCATAGCATTACTAAGTATAATCAATCCAATTTTTCAATTTCAATTTTCATCATTTTGGGGAGTATAACCGAAAAGACCCGAAGGATTGATTGCGCGAAAACCCTCAACCAATCAATGCCCTTTAACTATCCAAAACAGATCAGTTTATTGCTTTTTTCGTATTTTTTAATACAGCTCAGGAAGAAAAGCAGATCTAGTGTTCTCTATAAGGTGCTTCTGATTGTCAGAAAAAAAATTGATTCACGCATAGGCGAGGCTGCATTTAGCCGGCACAAGCAAGAAAAAGACAAAAATATTACGAAATTTTTGAAAGTTTAAAAGTTCCTACTCTTTGACCAAACTGGTCTTCCGAGATATTCCAAAGAAGTACAAAAATTCGATAGTCACGAAACTAGAAAAAAGCTAAAATGGCATTTTGAAAAATTTGGATATTTTTGGCCTGAAAATTGCGTTTTTTCGCAATCCCTCAAATTTTTGAACAATTATTAGGTTGGCTGACCAAAACTGGATGTCGTAATATAGTAAACCCGACTGGCTTGTTTGATATTAGTTCCTTTTCATTTTCTAATAATTGTTTGTTTTACAGAGTAAAAAAACGGTTTGAGCCAACTGAATTTGAGGTGATCTTTAGGAGCTTTAACGGGAAATTGGGCGACGTTTTTTCTCGTGGGAAAACCGAGTAACGACAAGGAGCGAAAACGACTTGAAATGGAAAATGCTTCTTTCGAAGATATTGTAGTTGCAAATTTCTATGATATTACACAGAGAGGCGCCACTATAAAATACTTGATTGGACTGAAAGTAGCTTCTTGTTTTTGCCCTCAAGCGGAATATCTCATCAAAGCCGACGATGATACGTATGTCCGACTGCGCCAAACGGAATATCTTCTGACCGCTGTCCAAAACGAGCTGGATAACGAGCAACTTCTGCAAAAAAGAATTAATTTACTTTATGAGAATAAAACAAATTCAAAAGTTAAGGTGTAAGTTAAGAGTCATTTTTGGCTAAATCTTTAGACAATTTACGCGCCAATTTATCTTTCAAGATTTTTTGTGCAGATTTTTACCACAAAAAATTTTGCTTGTCTGCAAAAAAACTACTGGGCAAAAAGTTACCTAAAAACGTGGACCAATTTTTCCTCAAAATTTTTGGCCAAATCTTTTTGAAAAAAAACCCTAAAAATACTTTTTTCGAGATAAATCTGTAATGGTGAACATGGAATAATCTTGGGATATTGTCTAATATACACTAATCGAGCTTGTTTTTTACTTATGTTATATTCAAGGTCACTTCAGTGCTAAAGTTACTCACGAGAGTAAAATAAAACGGCACTGCCTAAAATATCGAGATAAAACTTAAAATTATAACAATCGATAAAGCCACATATTTACCACAGTTTACTCCGCTCAGAACATCAAGTGTACTATAAAAAAAAACAAATTCGGACCCACCATGGTTATTCAACACATAGTTGATCAATTTCTGATGGCTCCGATGGTCACAGAAAGGGTCGACCAGGTGATTCTACTTAGCTAAACGAAGAACATTTTGAAGGAGCCACTGCTGAGACCGGAAACACCACAACCGAGCGCAGATGCAGCTGTAAAAACAGCTAGAGTTGAAAAATACAAACAAAAAACAGACAAATTGGTGGCGGAGGATTAAGAAAAATTTTGAACAGATCCGAAAGTTGGCCACAATGGGTAATATTACGGCGTTGCCAAACGATTGGTACCAAAGCTTTTCTTGGCATTGGGTGTCAGAAAGCAAAAAGAGACTTAGAAAAAAAACACATGAAAAATAATCAAGAGCTAGTAGATTTAGCGAAGAATAACCTTGAGAAAATCAAGAGTGTTACATACGATACATACAAAATAATCAACAGAAGGAACAAAAACAATAAACAGCTTGAAACATTTCAAGTCGCACTCAATGTACAAGCAGAGGACCTTATCGGGGACTTATTTCCATCACGAAGGAAGAAAATTGCGCTGCAGGACTTGCTATTATTTGAGACATAAGACGCAGACGAAGTCTTGAAAAAAGCAGAAAAATTCGAGCACATTAAAAAGACTACTATAGGAGTTCAGAAATCAAGCATACATGGCATTTCAGAAGGAGGATAAAGCAAAGCACTGTGTTAACCTTAAAGATAAAGCAGTAACCAATAATGGCAGAGCGAAATCAAGAACAAATTTCAAATCAGAGTAGATTTAGGAAAGGATCTAGGAACAACCGCAAAAACAACCGATCGAAATCAACAGGAAAATTTGAGAACAGAAATGAGAAAAAAGCATGAAATATGAAAAAAAATTCACATTAAGCCATCTGAAGATCAGTCCAGCCATTCAAAGAAGCGCCTGCAAATCAGAAGAGGAGAGTAAAATTGCACAGGAGAAGTTAGCAAGCAACTCAAACGGAGAATTAATTTCCATTAAAGACTTTGAAACGCGCAATGAACTTGAAACAATGTCAATTCAATTCGAAAAAATTGAGATTTAATTTGAACAAAGAACTTGAAAACGAGAAGAAATGCAGGAACAGCCAAGAAATGAAAAAAAAAAATTGACATTTGCAACGGTCCAAAATTCAACAAAACGAAATTTATGAAGGCGTTAGTTAATGAGAAAGAGCAATATGAGGTTTTACATGGTCACGTGACTGTAGAATTGGGCAGCCGTGTCAAATCCGAACAGTGCAACGGCGAACTATTTTGTAGAAGCTTCAGGTAGTGCCAAACTTGTTCCTGCAGAAACAATCAAACTTCCAGTGCAGTTTTTGAACTAAGACCAGAAACCCATACTAATCCTGGAAGCTTGCAGACGGATATACACCTGGCAGGCTGGTTCAAGAAAAGGGCAATGCTGGTCATTGCCGAACGAAAGAGGAGAGGCTTCGTTGGGCTAGATCTCGAAGCTAGGGTAGGCATACCAACCTCACAGAAAACAACGCAAAATGTGGAACTGAGGCTCGACATACTACCTACTGTGAGATCAGCTAACTTAAATGAGCCATTGGATAGAAAACGGAATTGAAAAACCATGTGGTAAGTTCGAAATTTATTTATTTTGTACGCCTAAGACAAGAAAAAAGTTAAAGTAATCCTAATATCAGGAAAAAAGCTAAATTGCAAAACTTGTTAAGCGAGGGTCAAATTAACAAATAAAAGGAGTGCATTCGTGAATGTTTTATTGTGTGTTTTCCACGCTACCAAATGTCAAAAGTTGAGGAACTGGAGGATGGTACAAGCTAGACTGTGACGGCAAAAACAGCCAGGTACCTTGCAGCTCATCGCATTACATCTTAAGTACTCGTATAGTAGACTGAAATTAGCTGAAGAAACAGCAAGACAATGTAACTTTAAAATCAACAAGGGAAGCGAGACAGGTACTTTTGATTTCTAGCAGGTTTCTATTGCTTGGCGCATGTGCTGGCTGACTTTCAAAAAGTTTTAGATAGATTGATTAAAGAGTCAAGGAAGATGGTTCCCAAGCTTATCACCCCGTGTTTTGTAACCCCCTTTTTCTTAACCCCTTCTCATATAACCCCAAAATCAGATAACCCCACTACATTTTTTTAAAAATTTTTTAAAGATATTTTAAAAATATTTTTAAAGATATTTTTTAAATAAGTGATATAATCATCGTATCGGAAAGAAAATTATCATGACCACCCAAAAATATAAACACCCAGGAAACATGGAAAACTTGATTCCAGCGTAAAAGAATCTTGTTTTCAAAATGTCTAAGTGCGAAATCTTCAACGACAAATATGACTGGTTGAGACAATAATTAGAGCAATTGGCGGCGAAAACTAATGAGGTAACAGGAAAAACTAGCAAAGAGGAAGTAATTTTAAAACCAGGTCCTTAAATAGCCCGGAACAATTGCGGTCATCTATTGCAAAATCAATGCTTTTCTGTTTCAAAATCAGAAAGAAGTCAGCCTGACCCCTTGAAAACTGAGGTCGTGTTGAAACGAAAAAACGAAAGAAGAAGTTGAAAACCACAAAGTTGAAAAAAATCGATTGGCGGGCTAAATCATGCCACAACATTTGAGAAAAAGGAAGCGGCGAAGGCTTTTTTTCACATACCGATTATTAGGATCCATGAAACAGATACGGGGATTGGATCTCAATCTCATTTGCTTCGAGGTGCTTTTAAACAATCAAGAAAAAAGCACTCCACCATTGAACTGGATTTTTGCGACAGACCACAAAGCTTTAACTACACTACACCACTAAGTAGTAACAATTTGCAAAAAAACCAAAATCAATTGACAGATGGGTGGAAAGTTATTACCAGTTAATTCCAAAGTCGAGCACGAATGTGGTAGGGACCATGCAATCGTTGTTTTATTATTTAGAAAAACTACGAATGATCCATGGGAAAACTTAAATTAGACAAAAAAATCGTTATACCTTCAGTTAAGAGATTTCACAAAGCATGAGGCAACTTAAACAGTATACTGAGTGATTTAAAAGAACTCAAAACCACGAAAAAATTCAAGAAACTTCTAGAGATTGCAAAACACTCAGTGACAGGTTGTCACACTGTTAGAATAGAAACTTCACCATCTTAGATTAATTGAACAAAACAACAGAACAAACAATAACGGTGATCATCGAACGAACGAGACGAAAAGTATGATAGGAAGGCATGTATGATAACAAAGCAGGAAACAGTCACCTCTAAAATTAAGTGCGGAATGAGCAAAACCGGGGGAGAAAAAAAACCGATAAAAAACTGCTCCCTCTAATCTACTAACTGTATCAAAACTCTGGATTATCCGAGAGTAACGTTGATATTGAAATTAGCAGAAAAAAGACGATAAAC